TTCCACCAGCACAGCTCGTTGGCCCATCTTGATATACAAGCCCTACCGCCACGTCAGAGTAGCAGCTATCGGTCATGACTATGAAATGCAGCCATTTTGTACTGTCATGTCATGTGTATTGAGGAAAAGCGATCGTGGTATTTCTTATTATTAGGACTGTCTTCGACTCATTGAACACTGGTGTGCTGTTGGATTGTTTGTTGTAGAGGTATATCCTTGAAAAGCTTGTAAACATCATGGAAGCCCTGTGTTTTAACACCTCAGTTACAGTGATAGCATTAAGCCACCGTTCTCCATTGCTCCAAACCAACAGTTGGGTTACGTAGAGCTGTACAATTTTACCAATCGTCGACTTTGCTGTGGTTGCGATGGTGATGTTATTAGGTGGAAAACTTCCATCTTGGGTGTACGGATTATATCATTTTGTGTAACAACATGCAGGCAACCTGAATGCACTCAATCAATCAGTTAAGGTTCAATATTCTTAAGTATGGTATGTTTTTCGTGCCATTCGGGTGGTGTTCTTACAAGATTATCAGAATCATGTATCTCCACCCACTCTTCAAAGGAAATCGGTAGTTGTCGAAAAGTACTTGGGTAGTTGTGTGTGCTAGTGGGAATGTGACTAATGAGATTTTCGACTGCATATCGGGTACCAGATAGGTATAAGCCAATCTAGTTCAATTTGGGCGCCGTCCTAACGTTAGTATTTCTGTAAAAGGCTGGGTAAACGACTCATCGCTATCGGCTGTTCAGCTGTACGCCTGTAAAACGGCCTCCGAGCTGAGGGTGTCCGGCGACTGTTTTTTTCTGCCCACCGCTGTTTCCGTAGGATTGTAAGCACCCAGTAGAGACATGTAATTGATTCTGAAGCTGGATGGTGATTGGGACATGTTAGGCATTTCCTGTACTACCACCCTGAGACTGAATAGAAGAAGCAAAAGAGGTGGTCAGCGTATGACGTGGCGCCGTGGGCTTAAATATACTCGTTAAGTTAGAATCCATAGGTACCCCTTGACCCAAATGGCATCTAAGAGTTAGCGCAACTTGGTTTGAGAAAATAGAAGACATGGTTCAATACCGAAACTAGTGACAACATTGGTGCAGCTTTCTTATTTCTTCTGCTACTAAAAAGTAAAACAAAGTGGTGAAGGCTCTTTGGGAGGATTTTCGATGTTGTTTCTCCAGTAACCCATTTCCACTTTTGTTTCCGTTTAGTTTTCCTCTTATTTCAGTCGTGTTCCTATTGTTGCTGTTATTTTGTATGACATCTCTCCCTGCTCATGTTTTAGTAAGTGTTTGGATAGATAAATGATAAAATCAACTACAAAATAGTTGCGGCTGGCTGGTTAGTGCATGGGCAAGCACATGTCGGTTGAGTTGCTCTCATTTTCTCAACGTATTTTCCGGTGTCGTCAAGTACGACGCTGGATAATCAAACGTACTTAATTAGTCCCTAGTTGCAATTTTATTGTACTTTTACATTGGGTAAATTATTATTGACATTTGAGGATTACACAGAAGTGGCAGTAGCTATTCTGCAACACAAAATACCCTAGATCTTTTTCGCGTTCTGAATGGTTTAGCGCCTGCATCATGTTTGTCGATTTGTTTTACTGTCGGCCTCATGACTTATTCGTCTGTCTGTTCTGTTTTCCTATCTTATCTCTTTCAGATCCTCTTTGTGCTGGAGAAATATAGTCACGTGCAGATTTGGTGAGAGCTTAATAGCTGAACATTTAACTTGTATTGTGATGGGTACAGATGAATACACAGTTAATGTGCTGCACGAGGGTTGCTATTCGAGATCATCAGTTGATCATGTTTATCGCAAATGTAATACTGTCCTAATTCGTGGTCCCTCAGGCGCGTTTGTAGTGAATCCAGGATCCGTTTGGAATGGTCCCAATTTATTGTCATCACTTAAGTCTGCAGGAGTGCATGAACCCGAAAGGGAAATAAAAGGTGTTATATGTACCGATGGTCATGCGGAACATGTTGGCTGTATGAGCATTTTCAGTTGTGCTGAGATGATGATTGTTGGCTATGACATACAAAAGCGAGGAGACATATTTTTGGAGCATGATTTTTGCGATGGCATCGCACCTTATGAATTTGATGAAAACGTAAGTTGTCACCCGTTTTTATCAGGATGTCATGGATCTTGAGCCGAAGAAATGACGATTTGGTGGCTTATTTGAGTTGTAGTTAGGAGTTTTTCTACTTTCCGCACTGGGTTTTTTGATTGCAATGGTCTTTCTATTGTTAAATTTCAATCAGCACGTGTCGAATATCATTTTGTGAACAAAAGATTACAGCTTTGAGAACTAATCGTTCTTAAGGTTATGATGACTCCATTTGGGAAGCGTGTTCGATTGACCCACAGTCAATGAATTCATGGACTAATTTGTTCATTCTTAGCTACTTTCTGACCTAATATACTCCACGTCGCGCTTTGGGGTGGGTAGTAGCTGTTTGTATAACACGTCTCAAGCGCTTCAGTGGTTACAAGTTCAACCCCACTGCTCTTGTAAACCCTAGTTTGCTATGATTTTACAGTAAAAAGGTTATTTGAGGCCACTTTCATGTGTGGATAGCAGTTGGACGAATGTTAATAGAAGACTTGAAGAAGATATTTGAACTGTTTTACACAGCAGAGATTAACTGGAATCGCCTCACTTTCACAGTCGTTGCTTTGGGCTCAACAATCGATACAGTTAAGCAAGACTCAAAAGCCAGAAACCAACTAGGTTTACCAGATACTAATGTATTGAGCTGAAGTTTTTGTCTTAAAACTATTATGCTACAATTCCAGTTGGAATTATACTGTTACATATCATCTAATACTTACCTACAGCTGAACAGGGTACATTGTGAGCTATTAAGCAGTTGAATAGGCAACGTAGAGGTTGGTTGGTTGGCGTATAAATGAAGCAGATAGCTTGGCGAAGTGAATTTGTATGACTATCATGGCTTTGGCTTACAGCTCGCTTTATAGTTAAACAAACGCCACAGAGGAATATTCTCTCAAAGAACAGCTTACATTCAGAATGCGTCAATAACATTTTCATTTCATAGTTTCTCTCTTGTTACGTTGCCCTTGCTGCACTGAGGCGAATTATTATTATTATTATTTTTCCCTTGGGTTTCTGGTGGAACATAGGGTTTGAGTAGCACGCCTCCATCGCACTCTGTTCTTTGCAATCTTTTGAACCTGGCGCCACGACTGCCCACAAGCTTTCATTTCTTCCTCACACCATCTCCTCCATGTCACCATCGCCTCGGACGTCCAACTGGTCGTTTTCCATTTCAGTTCCCCTCGACGGCCTGGCCTGGCGCCTGATGTCCCAAACGGTCTTTTCAGTGTATGTCCAATCCAGCTCATCTCCACTTTCTTCTGCATATTTGTTGGGCGATGGGTTCTTGGTTGGTTCGTTGATAGCCAGAGTAAGTTCCTTGTTGCTTATTCTTTCTGGCCATCTGATGTAGTCTTCAGTATTGAGCGAGTGTAGGCGGCAGCTGTTGATGTATGTCTGTAGTTTGTTGGAAATGCTTTTCGCGACGCGCCAAGTCTTTCAACCATCACATAGAAGTACTGACTTGAAATTGGTGTTGAAAATCCGGGTCTTGTTGTTTATGCGGAGTGCAGTGCAGTAGATCTCCACACTGATTTCAGATTAATCAAGACTCCTCTTGGTTTTCCGATCCTAGCTTTGACATCATCTGCTCCTGTGCCACCTGTAGTTGAAACGATGCTGCCTAGGTAGGTGGGTGATAGATGAAGGAGATAACGTCGTTTAGATTTCTCCGATTGATGATGATTGTTGCTTGTTGTTATTGTTGTTGGTTGGGTATTTACATCTTCTCTGTCTTCTCTTCGTTCACCTGAAGTCCCGTCTTCTCTGCCTCACCTCTTCTGCGAACTTGTTGGTTTTCACCTGTAAATCTTCGAGCTTGTGTGACATTAGACATAAGCCACCATCGGTGAAATCCAAATCTTCTAGGATCTTTTCATCGGTCAAACGGCGTATGCCCATCTTCTCACTTCTGACAGTTGTTTCTTGTATGATTCAGTCCAGTGCAGTCGACCACAATCGGGAAGATCATGGGTGATAGTAGGCAGCCTTGTCTTACTCCTGTCTTTACTTCAAAGGCGTCGCTGGGCTTTCCATTGTGGATCACTTGGTATGTGTTGCCTTCATATAGCTGTTGAATGAGGTTGACAAGGATCTGTGGCACTTCGTAGTGTTGAAGCAACTGTCAAATTACTTCTCGGTCGATACTGTTGAGTGCCTTTTCAAAGTCGATAAAGTTGAGGTAAAGATCCAGTTGACTGCCATTCTATGCTCTGTTCATTGATGGTGATGCGTAGCGTATAGTTGCAATTTGATGCCCACATGATTTGTTCCTTCTGAAGCCAGCCACCCAGCCAGCCTGTTTCGGTTGTAATTTTAGTCTCTCCAGGATGATACGGCTTAATATTTTGCTCGAGGTGGACAGGGGTGTAGCATGATTCCTCGCCAGTTCTTGCAAAGACTTAGGTCTCCCTTGTTTGGGAGTTTGACAAGGTAGCCCTTCTTCCAGTCAGTAGGCAGGTACCTTTCCTTCCAAACCTTCTGCATTAGTGGTGTGAGCATATGCGCTGTTGGCTCTGCGTCTGTTTTCACTGCTTCTGGCGGAATTCCATCTGGTCCTGCTGCTTTTCTGGCTTTCAGTAACTTTATGGCATTCAGGACTTCTGCTTTTGTCAGAGGGAATGTGTTCACTGGTAGTTCTGTGTCTGGGCTTCTGGTGATATTTCTGGACGAGTTGCAGGTGGTAGTGTTGGCCGATTCAAGAGTTTTTTGAAGTGGTCAGCCCATCGTTTTCTTTGTTTCTCCTCTTTGGTAACTAATTTTCCTTCACTATGTTACGTTGGTTTCGTCTGCGTTAATCTCTGCACTCCTAAATTGAGATGCCCGAAGTAGGGTTCGGACTAATGACGCACCGGTTGACAGTCACTATCCTAAGTTAGTGACAGTGTTTAGTATTAAATCAGGATTAGTTGGATTTTCATAGACTGCAGATACACCAGTGAAATTTTTGATTTCACCAGCTCGAGCTAGTTTATAAAGTCCTTTCGCATCACGTTTTTCGCATACTTCCAATGGAGTTGCTAGGTAAACTTCGAAAAATGGCAATTTGTATTGTGCATGTAGTGTACGAGCGGAATTTCGATCCTGAATATAAGTAAAATTTAAAAGGATGCGATAAGGAACCAATTTATTGATTTTTATGTGTAACTTTATCGACCACTAACAACTCATAGTTTGACATACATACCCCGAACAAGATATGAGCATTTAGCTATGATTCATATAGTATAAAACCTCATGATATTGTCTGAAGGCCTAAATTGAAATACCCGAAGTGAAGTTCGGACTAATGACCCACCGGTTGACAGTCACTATCCTAAGTTAGTGAGTCATATTCAAGTGGAGGGGAACACTCAAAACATGAGCAGAAAAATTTTAAGATACTTCATGTACAACCACTGGTTAGAATGCATCCACCGACAGTTTGATGTAGACAGGGTGTGTGAGATAATAATTCTCCTCCGATGAATAACATCTGCTTACACCACAAGTCATTTTAATTGTCTTGAAGGATAATCAGCTAGTTAGCTCCATTTAAAATCACTTTGAACTACTGTAACTAGAAACAAGCGGTCCCATCATGCCAATTGACACAGATAATGAATCAAGCAGTGGCGAAAATATTACCAACTATTGAGACTAGTAGTTTACTTTCACGAAGCCAAATACAACAGTAGTCCATAAATCTACTGTTTAAATTCAGGGGAAAACAAACTACAACTGGGCGTCATACAAATGAAACTTCATTAATTAAAGCTGCCACATAAAGGTAGGCGAACAATACAACTTTTCGCCAGAACCCGCTCTAGTTTGTCTGCATAAAGTCTATCCTTAAGAAATCATCGCACAGATACACTGTGAGTGTACATATTATCTTCGATAACACACATTGTACATAAGTTGATGTTCGCCACGTGCACACCACTTAACCCGATTTTAGCCAACTTCCTTCTCGCCAAACTTGAAAACGGAAAGTTGGAAGCTGTCAACAGTGGAGTGAAACAGGTATATTTTACCGTTATACTGATGGCATATTCATTATTCATGACCAGTTTCAAAATCGAAATGTACTCAGCAAACACTGTGCACATTAATGTAGTAGGTAATTGGCCTGACGGCTAATGATACTTACCGCATGTCTGCTTCAGCCCTGGTAAATGAGCGAAGTTCAAACCCGTCATCTATTGGTCGAAAGTCAACTCCCTAAACTAATGAGCCACAGCTCCACAATCATGTACACCCTTCACTTTATGTCACTTGTGACGAAGATTATGCGAATAAACTTGGTTTTCTGAATATTTTATTGAGCAGAAAAGAAAATTGTTCACTCAGTGGAATTATGTATAGAAATATCACATCTATACATTCGTAATCACATATTCCGTACATGTTCCATATAAAAGAGACCCAACTGATGGCTTACAAATAGGATTTAATATGTAATCAGTTATAATAAACATCTGTCCACAGCTCACTGGTTGAAATTGGCTTCCTCAACAGGTTTATAAAAAGGCGAGAGAGGGAGAATATTTGAGTCGTTTAGCCTTCAGAAGAAACTGCTATACACATGAAACTGGAATTCAGTGGATATGTAGCTACCAACAAATTTGTACATAAAAGACTATGTGGAGCCACTAAGAGGCGTTTTGCACTCTTCAAGTATTTATTTTACCAAGTTTTACCGTTTCTATGTCTATTTACAAGTTAAACTGCTTCTAGGAGCTTATCGCTGGGCAACTTAAGAACCATATTTTTGAACATTTACCTTTATAGATAAGGCGAATCCATTTAGGTATGTCAGTCCCATACAATCAAATCTTTCCAATAGTATTCGGACATAAAGGAAGTTTAGAGAATTTTAATGAATAAAAACACCATTCTGTGTAGAAGAATCTTTTACATAGCCTATCTCTCATTTGACCAAAGAAAAGTTAATAAACAGTTTTACCCATAAAGTTTTTTGATCCCCGTCAGATTATAAAACCCCTTTTATTTACCTACCAAATTAGTTAGTAGATCTCTTAGCAACCCACTTCATTCTTTGATATAAAGCAATTTTTCTGTTCAAGGTTTTGGTTCACTTCACCTATTACAGTCTTTGCATTCTAACGCAATTTCCCTACTTCTTATCACCATTATGACTGCTTTTTGTAATAGAGAACCAAACAACAAGGAATCTTCCAAGAGAGAATTAAGGAATGGGAATTTCACGAACTACGCATACTGGTCACCTTTTATAATTTTGACCAAATAACTAGTGTCTATTGATCAAGATTGCATTTAACCACAAAAAGAGAAAATTTGACCTTGTAACTATCTATGAAAAGGAGCTTCTTCACTTAGATCATTAGGTAGGTTCTCAAAACGCGGTATATATATGCCCACTGAACCAGTGAGCAGACGACTTCGAATAGCCACATAATAAACCTGATTAAAGATTTCACTCTCAAATATGAAACTTACAATAACTACATAAGACAGAAGTAGATCCTTCATGTAGGGTACAGAAATTTGTGGTGAAAAGTCAACTGTGGAAATACAATCACATGAATCTCTTCGACTGTTGCGGCCATAGGGACATTGGTGAGTAAGGAAGGAGTTAACATGAAGAGAACACCTGCTTTCCTTTCGAATGTTCCCACTATCAAAACAGTGCATCAGTTCAAATGTAGCTTTCAAGATCCAATTACAGAATCACTCCTCAGAGAATTCTGCTAGTCGCTGGGTGAACTTATATACTGATGACCTACATAATGTAATAATACTGTACAGAGGAATGTTGGCTTTGTTTTACCTGAGTAAAGCATGTGTGCGTATGCAAAATAATACTTGGTTGGCTCGTTATTCAATCAATTTCCTCTCTGACGATGATGGGTAGATATATGGATAAACCCTAACTGAGTTAGCCGCAACTTTTCCCTACAATACTTGTACACTATGCAAACAGTAATCTATCATAAATTTACTTTCGCTCGCAATGGCCATTGCAAAACTACTGAGTGGTGTCCAAGAACTTAGTTTTCGACTAGTCTTGAGCATCAACTGGAATTTGAACAAACTTTAGCTGTTCGTATAACATGATTTCCAATTGCAAATGTATAGTAAGATCGGAAAATTGCATAACCTTGAAACATAAGACATTTGCCTAAATGATATGCAGACAATATCGCACTTTATCATTGATGTAGTTATTAAACTTGTAGGCGTTTGGTGTTGTTTTGAGAAGAGGTTTACCAGGAAATTAGGAATTTCAACCTACAAATCACAGATAAATTCGATAAAATATGAGATGTATTAACTTTGGATGGAAGTAATTCTAGTAATATTTGAAAATTTTAGCTATAATTTACATTTTAAATGTTTTTTACAACTCTATAGACAGACATTACTTAAAGGAATAGAACCTTGTCTCTATTCATGCTGTATACAATGAAATATACCCATTGTGTGACGGCTAATGATTCTAACTGACTACTCAAACCATTGTAGGTGGAGCGGTATTCCAAACTGTCAGCCATTGGTTCAACATCAACTGCCTGTGTGAGCAGCAAACTCTCTAAACAGTACCCAAACGACTACTGAGATAACCAGTTACGTTTCTTTACACTTCAAAAGGAAACTACCTTCCCAGACGAAACAGAGACATCTAATTGGTTGTTTCAATCGTTGATAAGGCTGGGTAGGTTGACTACGAAAGGTCCGTTCGAAGTCTGTAAACTTGCATCATCTGTGGCATCGACCGGCAAGGTATCGCACCATCTAGCAAAGGACGAGTATATTGCGCTGCAGTTAATTTTGTCCTGTCGTATGGCTGTGGAACATGACCGTTAAAAGTGGAAGACATGAAACAGTTACAAGGTTTTGATCACAGATGTCTTCGCTGTATTGCCTACGTTTAGTGGAATCACCGTGTGAGCAATGTTGAGGTCAGACAAAGGGTACAAGGCGAGACAGGAAAGTCGATTGGTGAGGTTGTGAACCTTAGTTAACTGAGATAGCTTGGAAATGCCGTGCGTATGCCAAGCCACTGCCTATCTCAACATGCAACGCCTGGGAGAAAATGGATTGGGTTGGAAGAGGGTTTAAGGTGGCTAGACCAAGATATGGCAATATTCCGGGAAGTCCCTGATTACTGGTCTCAACCGTGCGGAAAGATGTAGACTACATGATTGGCTGGAGTCCTTGACACAATAGGATCAATGGTTGAGGATTCTTGGTAAAATGGTTGAAAATCAGTATTAATGGAGCAGATGTATTCACTATTTAACGTCTTTTAAGGCTTGAATATTAGCATCAACCTTCATCTTCAAATTTTTTATTCCCTTATACGACGTTATCTACTTCGATATCAGTCGTTCTGTATCCACTTGTTCTTTGTGCGGTAAATTGAACCGATTGACTTGTGCGCGAGGTTCTGCATTGATTCTGTCTTCCTACGTAGGCTTTAGAGTCATCCTATAAACGATTTATACGCGATTTCAATGGTTTACTTGATGAAATAAAAATGCTGTCCCATTCAGAGACAATTCTGGGCCTCAGGTTAACAAGCCTGTTTAAACACTTGATTACTGTGAGATGATCTGTCCTGCTCAAACTTATGAAACAATTAGTTATTTCTGTTAATTTAGACAAGACAATAACAAAATGTTATTATTGCCAATCGTATAATGCGACTTCACAACACGCAGACGTTTTTACTTCTCTTAGGTATTTTGTACGACAGCCTGACTAAATATTTAGAAGGTTGAGCTGAAGATCAACCTAAACATTAAAATCAATATAGCAAGAGCTTAAATGAATACGTGAATAGAAAACCTACCGTTAGACAAGTCAAATTTTAAAGTGGACGACAACAGAAGTAAAAACCTGGCTATCGACCATCTGGAAAGAAGAAAGTGAAATAGGTGTAGTTATTATGTTGCCTGCATCCAGCTGAACAGTCTCAAATAGGACGAAACATGCGTCGTGGATTCCACTGTTAGACACTATATATCATTAGCTATAGCAATTACTGGAAGAAATATCTATTGACGATGAGATTCTTGATAGTATCAAACTAATTATATTACAACTTATGAAGTCACATCAAAGTGCAAAAATACACAGACCCGACAACTCTACCCGACTAGTTTCAGACAGACAACAGACAAAAAATAAATGTAGAACCTCGAAGAGAACTGCATCGCTTCAAGTTGCCCCACCTCACAGTAGTGGATGGGAAAGATTGATTTCAAAGTAGACAAAGGTGTATGGGAGGAGAGACCATTTAAAAATCAAATGTTAGTCAAAACATCCAAGCCTTAGATGTCAAAGAGTGAATACATCTACGCCATTGTGACTGATTTTTAGTCATTTCACCAAGAGTCCTCGAACCACTGACTCCTATCGTTTTGGGGACCCCAGCATAAATCTCCGTATGCATACATGAAGTCTAATCACTATATATGACATACAATGAGGTGAGTATAGAGTACAGCAGATATAATCATGAAACATTAATGCTGAAGATCAATGACACAAAACCACAGACATTCTCTTATATGCTCCAATGAATGTTTATTTAGGAGTGAAGAAAATACTGAGTTAACTAGGGGTATACAGTTGTCAGCGAAAAATTACATAGAAGTATGTGTTACACATCCCAAGTCATAATTCATTCGAATGTAACATGACGATTCGAGTGGACTTAGGCTGCAAGAAGCTACAAGCGTCATGCGTAATGGGTCCCTTGGCTGAAATTCTGAGGATATTAACATGACTCAAAATCGGTTGTAATGATGTGGGCAAATCCCCTTTGCAACTTTTCCCACATATTTATTAATTTGAAAATACTATTCATCATAAAATGACATCGATTAGAGAACCACTGAAAACCTGGAAGCACTGAACAATTGTTTCATCCATTCAGTCATTAGGCTGAGTTGTTTACAAACCACCCTTTACGTGCTTTATCAATTCACTTTTCAGTGTCACATCATCAATGATAATAATAGCCCAGTTGAGTTATTTTTTTATTCTGTTTTTCTTTGGCGCGGAGAGCCAAAAATATAGAAAACCTGATTACCGAAGTTCTTTTTTATAGAAAAAGCAAAGACTTACGCTTGCAAATGGACTGATGAAACTGGTCAAACAAATGTTATTGGCATCGGCGAATAATTTGGCCACCTCACTAATTCGCCGAATATTTTCCACACGATCTTCATCACTGAATCCCAAGTTTTTATTCAAACCAGTACGAATATTATCACCATCTAACACATAGGCTGATATGCCTTGATTGACTAAATATTTTTCTAAAGCGAATGCCAGTGTGGTTTTACCAGCTCCACTGAGACCTGGAAATAATACACATAAGGTGGATTTAAAGTGTGAGCTGAAGTGAAACACAACTGAACAATTTACTGGATGATACAGATGGTTTAAAAACCATTTACGTCTAACATTATTACTTATAAGCAAATTAATATAATGACAGTGCAACACCACGGTAAATTAGATTAGCTGATTCAACCGTAGTTGGTAAACTGATCTTCCTATCCACAAATGATGAGTCATGCTAGAAAGAAACCCAAGTTTCTACGGAAGTCGAGTAAAATATATTGAATGATCAAGGTAAAATTAATCTCTGGTTGGCAGTTAGACTTCATAGGTGAGTTAGCAAACTGTCAGACAGATAGTCTAGCTTGGTTTAAATCCTGCCACGACCTAAATTTCCTACGAATTGATATCATCATGTAGTTTGAGGTTTATGAAGATTTGACTTCATGGGAGTATTTACCAGGCACTGACATTAGTTTCAAAACTACTGAAGTCCTGGAGGCACAGGACAGCTGTTTCGTCTTAGTACGAAGCTCCTTAGCAGCGTGCATGCATAACCCCGCCCAGACAAAGATGCTTCAGTCACAGACGTTACCACAGTAGAAAACGGGACGTAAAATCCAGAGAGTGAAAATATTAGGAATAAAGAATCTTGCGACAAATTCAGGGCAAAACATTCCGATAAAGTCATCAGGTTGTTCAGAAACTCATGATTTTAAACAGCTTCAGTTCGTCGACACAATGGCACAACAATCAAAAGAAACTACTAATGGCAAACCACTTCATCAAGGCCAGAGATAGAATCAATCACAGAGAAATACTGACAGCTAACTTCATATCGAAGTAAGTGCTGATGATGCTCCCTAGAAAGACAATGAAAGCTTCACGATTAAACCATTCAGCTCAGAGAACCCAACACAGCTAAGATTATGCACTTGAGGTACAGATATTATCCACCACAAAACACTTAAAAACAGGATAAAACTTGTTATATGCATACTACCACACCTCTTAACTGTTTTGCAATATGAAACTGGTAGGAACTGTCAGTTATGCAGTCTAAGAATAGTGAACTATCCTGTTTAGGTGCATTCACAGATATATTCCCTCAAAATTACAACTACGAATGTTTTATCGATCATATAAAGATACAACACGAGTGACGCTTGGTAGAATTCCTGCAGTATACTGATGAAATGACTTGAAGAGAGAATTATCAGTGAAAACCTTTGTCGTAATTCCTTTGAAGCATGTCGCTGTAACACACTTCAAAATCTATCCCACCTAAACATTTTCTGCTGGGTAAACAGAAAGTTTGTCTTCCACAGTACAAATAACAGAGAATTAAATTTACTTTGAAATCCCACAGTTTTGGATGATGTAGGTGTAATAATAGGAAAGAGATAATAGTCACATAGTATTAAGAATCCTACGTAATATCTGAGGTGCCTTCCTTATTTGGTGTTGAATCCTCTCTTAACAGTGGTGCCAATATTAGTAATATTAACATTATTACATCTTCTATTAACACTGGTGTTACTAAGGAATTTATCCATGAATATTAGTATTAGTGTTGGTACTACTAGTGTTAGTAACACAGGCGTTTATAACTGTAGTAGTATTAGTAGTGATGATAATAATAATGATGATAGTAATAATAATGGTGACAACACTGTGAAGAGGGGATTCCAAACTTCTACAGTATGGGCTAACAAGGAAGATATCTCAAAGACATTACGTACGATTCTCAATAAGGTTGAGATTAGACCGGCATTTAAACCGACAAACACTTAGAAGTAAGCTCTGCAGGTTAAAAGATCCTATTGATCGCACTCAGCGGGATAATTTAGTTTAATAAAACCCTTGCAGTGATTGTGAGGTCAAAGTAGTCGACCAGAGTAAATTAGGCCATTCGTGCACAACAGCTTGGTTAAATCAAGATTCGAATGCTCTAATAAAGTAAGGAATCTAGAGAAAAGTTCAGCTATCGCTATACATGCGATTACACATGGTTATGTTGTTTATAAGATCTTCTTACATAAACTATCAGATATAGCAGTCCATTAGGAAGCGCAACCATTTGCTTTGATTTTTACAGAGAAATATCGTCCTTCTGCTGCAAGTTCATAAGACAACTAAAATAAGAAGTGAGAGACTCTACACTACACAAAGACATCTATGCTTTCTGTTCAGCTGTAAATGACAATGTCCTGTCTCTATTTCTTTGCGTATTTCTACCACATAACTTTTAAAGACTGTTGAACGAACGAATCCACTCAGCAACCATGTGCGCGTTCATACAACAGATGATGAGCCACACTTATTGCGTCCGGGCTAATGATACGATTTAGCTGCCTAGACCCTCATAAGTAAAGTGAGCCTCGAACAAGCCTATTATTACAATGATGGCTTCCGTATCTCAGATGCCTAGTGATCAACGCTCTGGATTCTGAAGCAATGGATAATACGTTCGAGCCCCACTGCGGATACCACCTCTCATTTGGGTCAAGTATATCCAGCTGACAAGTCCCAAATATGACGAAACGCGTCAATAATCTTATGATTAACATTATTATCACAAAGTGTAGTAGTCAACAGCCAATTTATCAAAATCACAAACGTGTTGTTGCTGGTTAAACTGAGCAACTAACAATAAGGTCATCCTAGAGATTTAAATTAAGTAATATTATGCAGGACTAAACTTTCGGTTACATTCTGTTCACGTATGCATGCACTGAACATATAAAATGTTGCGCTTTTCAACAATTTATGAAACCAACTGAAAACATATACTGTTTGTTTCTCTGTATGTATTAAAAAGTAATCCCACCTTAGATGAAATGTAACTAGAGTAAAAATAAAAATGAAATCCCCATAAATTTCAAACTGCATTACCATATAGTGCTCAATAGTGACATGCTTTGACATGAATATCCTGAAGCCGTGACCTGTGGGGTCGACTAATTGGAAGGGAAGCGAATGTCAACTGAAGGCCTTGGGTGATAGTCACGCTATATCGTGGATTGACAGAAGTTGGAAACCGTGAAACACTGAACTCCGACCCAGTGACTGAATGGTTAACACGTTCGCCGTGAAACCTGAAGGTCCTGAGTCCAATCCCTAGCCCGGTCGTGGGTGAGTACCGCTGGGGTGTCCTGTATCAGGACGAGAGAGCTGTTCAGTGCTCACAGGTTCTCAATGGTACTCTAAATGATGTCAGTCCGTGATGAATACTACCTCAAAATTAAAATCCCCTTTGATCTCAGAATACATTACTTATGAAACTAACCAGTTTTCAGGTTGAATCAGATGTCGACAGATATGAACTCAACGCCTATTAGTTAAAACTCAAGTGCTTAAACCAATAAACTAAATGTCTGCACTTGTATACTGAATATGGTGTAAACAGTTCACAGTCAATATGGTGATCTGCTTGAACCATGGGTTACCAAAAACTTTTCGCCGAATGTAATACATCCAACTGCTCCCTTTCAAATTGTTTTAATCTCTAAAAATATTGTCTTCAAATCATATCATGTAAGGATTCGAAGCAGAGACCTTTTGGTTTGGGACCCAGCGCTCTGCCAACTGGGATACGAGACCTATGAGTTTTACCCGGATGCGTAACTTTCCGCTCATGATAATTTGTTGATAGAACGCCCAGGCCTATAACTTAGAGGTCACCGGATCATATCCTACCAGGGGGCAGATTTTAATTTCACTTTCAATTATAACATAGTATCAATAATGCCAAAGATAATAAATAAAGAAAAAACAACAGTTGAACTAGATGACAATGAACTTTTAGACGCACACCAATACATCATATCACTCACTACTCCTGAAATACTTATCTTGAGTTGCAGATTTTCGTATCGGTTGAATGAATCATGGCTACTAGTAAACTTAAACATGCTTCTCTATTCATTGCCTCCTTCAAACTAGACGATAACGTAACAACAGTTAGTCATGAAATCTTATTGTCTAACAATACTCTTATTATCAACATTACTGAGAAGCTATAATTATTTCACTTAACAATACTGTACACGCTGAAAATCTAATACTGTATGAAAAAACCTATCACCTGGAAAAAAAAGTGATTATTGTTTCGTTTTGCTCTTGTTTTAGAAAAAACATTGTGATATATGGCAACTTTCCACTCTCGAATTGAAAGCTGAAATGTTCCCAACAACTTTGTGCACATTAGTGCAGTAGCCAGTGAGACATACCTATGGTTTGAGAGCCAATAATACCACCTACCTGGTTGCCCAAACCTTGATAGGTGGAGCGGGACTTGAACCCAAGACTAATTGGTCGAAAGTCATCTCCATAAATCAGTTAGCCACAACTCCATGCTTTGTAATCTACATGTTACAGTATTTACAGTCGAGTAGAAATAGTAATGACCACTTGTCTGCCTACTAATATTAATGTTATTACTATGAGTAGTATTGATAGTAATAGAGTAATGGTATTCTTTGGTGATAGGAGTATCTGCGATTTTAATTCAACTTTGTTGGCATACTAATATAATGTGATGAAACGTAAACCCGAGTTGAGGCAGGACTTGAAAAGGTGGTGGCCTCCAAGTTATCGCCTCGGTGATCTACCAATTCAGCTAGGAGACCAAGATGCTGACGTAGCTTAGCTGCTAAACCACGAGGCTGATAACCTGAAGGTCACTGTTTCGAATTATCCTAAGACTCAGGCTTTCACTTCGCCTTCAATCAACATAATGTCTTGTGTGTAAAGACAATTATGCAAACTCCTGAGATAAATTGTGTTAAAACTCAAAAAACATATTCATTTGAATTTTCGTATGTCAAGTGTTTGAATTGTCCTTATAAGTTTTATACGCTAAATGTGTGATTGTCAATATCACGCTATTTACATGTCACGATTGTCCAACTTCTAATAATTAAGCTGATAATGTGACCTTAAAGCTAAGTGACATAACATGATTATCAAATCGGGTGAACAATGAGAACCGAATAATACAGTTTCTTATCAGTATTGCATAAGAGGTGGATCTCGTGCCCACTAGTGGATACCACTTTGGCGTTTAAAGCGATGGGTACTGGGTTTGAGTCTCGGTGCGAACACCATCACTCACTATGGTGCAGATACATCCAGCTGACAAGTCCTAAATAGGATAAGACGTGCGTCCTAGACTCAACTGCTAACCATCACCAAGTAAGCTACAGTTCTGCGCATTGAATGGCCTTAAACGCCCGTTTCTTTACTTTACAACAAAGCAATCTTCACAACCCAATTGTTTATTTCAGTAATTGCTGTCGTAGACCGGAGGGTCACTGATTATACTCGAATTCACTTTCATAAGAATACCTAAAAAGTAGGAACTACAATGGGAGTGGAGTAAAACGGATTCAGTTAATTCCGTTGGTATCTTGTCAACTGCTCACAGCCTACACAATCAAGATATATTTAACGTACTTTAATTCATCGGAAGAAAATGGACTAAATGTCAGTAGTTAAAATGGGCTAAAATAGTATTGGCATAGTTGGAGGTCATAATGGTTAGTTTAAGCAATGTTAATAAGCAGTAGCAAAGTGTCCCAACTATCTACATAGTTCGATGGAAGTTTCTAGAGTGAAAGAAGCTACAAAGGTTGCAGTCAAAACATTGAGGGACTTAGCGTTAACAGATTATTTAAAAAGGTCATTTGATAAATAATTTACTAAACAAAACGTGCAGAATATTGTGAGTTAAGCACATTTAACTGAAAACAGTCCACATGAACAAAAGAAAATGCAATTAAATAACAGTCAAGATAAGGTTGTCAAAGGTAGGCAGAGGTTGACTGCAGACTTCTTCTTCTTCTTCAACACATTCAGGTTTGAAGCGTTTGATGTCTTCCTTAATGACAAACTTCAGAAGAATCGAGAGAGCTTGTCACCTCATTATATTGAAAGAAGTGAAGATATCTGCCTGGTGTCCACGGTCAATCAGGTGCTCAGCGATTGCCCTGTTTATAATGTTACTTGCCTTTAGTTGTACAACTCTTTGAAACGTGTTCATGAAATCTGAAGCACACTCTTCTTCCTGTTCTTCCAATGTATCTACTTCAGGAACTACGCGTAAATGCATTTATACGGTTGGAGGTAACATAAGAAGGGTACCTGTCGACTTCTGACAACTAAAAAGTACATTATGTTCGGTAAGGAGGAATCAACCTGGTTGCAGAGAAATTTCTAGTCAGTGATTTCTTGAATCGTCTGTTACTAGTTTCTGCAACGTCCCCATATCACATTGTTATTTCGAATCTAGGAGCGTCCAAGTTGTCGACCACTCTTTAATAAACATCAGTCCATGATGAATACTACTTTGTGATTAATTATTCAATCATTCTACACAAACTACCAATTCAAAAATATTTCAGTCTGGAGGTTTCGGAAATTTAATCGATTTCAAGGTAGTATTCATCAACAACTGACATCATGTAAAGAAGTATTGAACAGTTGTCTATTCCTAGTCCGAGACCTCTCAGCAGTTTATATCCACGACTCTGAACTGTCAAGTCTCGCGGCGCACACGACAATCATTCAACCACTGATTCGGAAACCAATAATTCACATCTGTTTACTTTTGTCAATTCACACTATATCGTGAAGTTTACATTTTGAGATATGTAAGGGTAGGCTCAAGTTATTAAGTAGACAATGAAAAGGCAAAAACCGTTGTAGCGTCATACACTTCCCCAAAATCAATAGCTTAGGGTTTGACGACTTTTGACATTGATGCTGACCTTTATAGTTTAACTGGACTCGCTAGGCTGAAGGCAACCGGTCAAGCATCCTGGCCATTTGGCACGCTGTCGTGTTACGTTGCATTGCTCGTATTCGACTCTAGCCAGTTGGTTGGAACGCATCGGTATTTTGGCATAACCATCCAAATATACTATTCCATCCGACTACGCTATCGTGTTCTTGGTATTGGTGGGTATATAACAAGTTCGAATAATTAGTGATTAGTATTTGCGTCTGTCAAGTTCGCACCAGGACAAATTATAAACCGTTTCACTTTTACTGGTTCAACGAGTTGGTTTAATGTTATCCAATAAACTATGTCCCAATGTGAATCAAAAAGTAATATACAATAACACTACAAATTACTCAGTGGTCGTTCTGCCTTTTTCGATTACTTACTTGAATCACACGCTTGACCAGTGAAACAAGGGGACTTTTATGAACGTGTTTTTAAGCTGCTTACACGATACTCTGAAATAATTTTTCACACTACAAACTGCCAGACGTATTCAGTTGGTTAAATACAAAAATGCAGATAAATAAGGTTATCATCACCTACCAGTAAACCAAACTGTACAACCACGAAACCAACTTTTTCTACAGAATGAAACACGTTGATCATGAGTTACATGTGAGGCTTGATATGTCAGACGTTTGGACATAATTGTTGGTCTACTAAGATAAAACAAAAAAGAATGGAGGCAAAGTGTTCCAGTCAAACTGGCATAAAATATTTACAAGGAAATCAGTAAAAATATGGGTGAAATAACTATTGGAACAGTGAAATATACAATTTATTTTCTTTGGATAATAGCTTCATTTGACTTATTACAAAACAGTCTAATAAATTCGCATATCTGAAGAAGTTGTAACATAAATCTAAAAACTGACAGATAGACGAAATCAACAATGAACCTAGCACATAAGCGTATCAATTCAAGTTGTCACATTGCACAGTAGCACTCAAAGAACAACTGGATAGGAAAGACTGATATTAAAGTAGACAAAGATAAAGGGGAGGAGAGGGGATTTAAAAATTAAGGTCACTCAAAATTCTCAGGCCTCAAAAGATGTCAGAGTGTCTTGCCCAGTGCTGATTGCAGTTGTCTGAAGAATTCCTTCTTCTTCTCTTGATCTGCATTATTTTCAGGTGCGTAGCGTAGCATTGTATAATTGTGACTTTCCTTCCTTTTGAGTTGAATCTTGCTGCCATGTTCGAGGAGAAGATTGGTTCCCACTGCATGAGGGCCTTCAGCATTCTTGAAGACATCATGATAGCCGCTCCAAAACCCAGTGTGTTCGTCGCTGTCATCTGGGTGACAATAACGGATTAGATTACTGACTAACCAGTCAAGAGGTTGAGGAGTCCACTCCCATTCCATCTGCTCTCGCAGACTCCAAGCACTTCCATGCCATACGTTCTCATCTCTTTCGCAATCCGGGCAGCCATGCTAGGTTCATACATGGTGCGGATATTCAATATCCTCATTCTTACGTTTACTTTCGTCGAGAGAGAGGACAAATCGGCCAACTGCCTTCCCGAGGCCTTTCGATAAACGGCATCATTACCTGCATCCGATTCCAGCGAGGAAAAAGTTTGTTTGCATTTTTAATGATTTCTTTGCAATCCAAAGTTTATTAAGCCATTGTATCGGTTTATAGGGGTGCCGTTGGAAGCCATAATCAAAAAATGCACAAATTAAACACGCTTGAGATTTGGCAGTCAATTTACTATGTATTCAGTTAACAGCTGTCTAGTCGGTGTGAGACCTGAGAATACTGTGTAACGCTCCAAGTTGTCAAACCTCACATCAGCACATTCAGATACAAGGCAGTAAGATAATCGACGCATCAAGAGAAAATGTCATCAAAAAACTAAACCATGAAATAAGATGTACAACTTTTGATGAAGTATGAAGCAACTGCTTAGATCTGTTGTCTTCAAACTAATCACACTGATTGATTGCTTTAGGTTTACAAAGTAATGGGAAAGTAAAGATCCCCCTGGAGAAAATAACACAGTACATTCCCCGATAATCCCCATCTTACGCAATGGATCATTTTAAACAGATCATGCATTAAAAAACAGACAACAATGAGAACTTCACGATTTAGTGGATTCATAGAGCGACAAATTCGTCATCTGAATAATTAGCATACGTGATCACATGGATTACTACTTAATACAGCATGAGACAAGCCAGTGACGAGAATGCGTGGTGAAGGTTGAACAGATTGGAGAAAATGTATTTCATTATCGATAGATGGGATAGTATTTAAATGGGTAGTAAACGTGGCACTGCTTTACACTGGGCCTACATACTTTGTTTGCCACTAACTGCTTCACTTGAAATGACCTATTTTAACCCCAACCATATAAATCTCATTAATATCCAAATAACTGTTGCCCAAATAAGTACTTTGTACGAAGTCCACTTCCCCCCGATGGGTTACTGCTTCAAACCTAGCATCAATTACCGAACTTTCGGCAGTAGAATGATATCACCACCCTTCCTCAAATGGCTGTGGCTCACTGCATACTGCACGAAAGTGCACAGCACGACTGTGCACCATACGATTCGGATTTCCAAACGATTTCCAAACAATCTTCCCATTATTCACCGCTATCAGACTTTTCACTTGAAAACGGCCTGGTTTATTCAGTATGACATAGATTAAAATCGATCAACAATGTCTCCACCATCAACACAAAAGGTTTACAGAATATCTGTCCATTTCAATGTGACAAACAAATTATTTCTCTTCATCCCGAAACACCTGAAATCATTTCACAAACACCTACATTTACGCATGTAGCTTTCAACTGCATTATCCTCCATCCAATCAGGCATGTCAAATATTCAGTTGGTCAGTTTGACTGAAATATCTGGACGCATTTAACCTTGCCTCCTGGTCTACACCGCTCTCCACACATACATATCGGGACTACGTTTAAACATCATCCATCAGATTCGGAAGTAAACTGAAGACACCAACATCCAACAGTGAAGTCGCAGTTAGTGAGTTTAGGCAGTTGATCTCTCACTTATCAAGGTCTCAGCAGTAAAATATCATCAGCCTTGATAAGATAGGTTTGACTCAGTGTTTACTGTGCAAGCGTGCACACGGATGCAAAGTCACACAGACGTAAACCGATACCACTAGCATGATAAATTCGAACATATAAGGCATATTTCGTAGATGATGACAGACTGTCAATGTAGTGACCGATAACGAATAACAGTAAGTATGAAATATATTTGCGTTATATTTGCTACTGTCTAACAGTGGAGTGTAGGATGCGTGTTCCATCCGATTCGAGACAAGTCAGCTGGATATACATTCCACATAAAAGTATCCTACATATCTGTTAAAAGCCTTCAACTAACCCAAATTCTATTGGGAGTAAAGAAGCATGAATGATCACAAACTACGGTCTCAGTATTCGTGACTCCAAATGGATGGAACGCAGAATATAACTCCTTCAAATCAGCGTTTCGCTATTTACAGTAAACGGATTATTTAAACTAATAGTAAACAAATATTTGCAGTATCGAAGATTAGAAATTGTGGCAAACAAAGTTCTTTTCGATGAATAATTTTGCGTTGTTAACAGGTTGAACAGAAATACTGGACATCTATTGTGTTAGGGTTGATGACAGTATGAAATATTGTTTCTAATGAATGGGCACCGAATATTTAAGCCTTTGCAGTGGGTCAAAACCAGGCTAAACCTTGCTTTGCCCGAGGCCACTCTACAGGATTATGGTTAAACACATTCGTTGTCATTTTGAAATCTTGTTGGTGGGCTTCCACATTTTAGGAGCAGACGTAACCTAAAACTGTCACATGTAGAACTTTCGTCGATGACTTTCCATATATTTTCAAATCCACCAGATTTTTTAGTAGTATGACAGAAGTTCCGCGGCTCTTACTTTATTTTACTTTGCTTCGATTTTTCAAGAAGTTTATCCTATATACAGTACATCACCAACGAAGTGAATAAAATCTGAAATTTTGAGACTAATCCACGCTAGCAAGGTTGCTATGTAAAGCGCTTGAAGTCCTGAAAAAACTGACACTGTATTTGTTGAGCATCTTTCAAATACCATCCATAGTGTGTGACCTTTGAAGAAAACGTGGCTTTGTTTTTATGAGAACTGAGTGCACATGTTTCGACTAAAGTTCAAGCTGAGTTCGACAAATAAGAAATGATGTCTAAGCTTTATTAAACTGGAGTGCTAGTAAATGAGTTAGTTATAATTTTGTTCTTCTCAGGTTTCTGTGGCAATGTTTGTCATGTTTTTGTCATACCTTCTAGGCTCACTAAAGGGGTTTCAAAATTACAGTTAGGTATTTAGAAATGTTAAATGGTAATATAGTAGTGAAATTCGCATAGTCTCAATGCGACAGTGGACCTTATATTGACCGTAGAATCTTAAAAGTAAATAGGGCTTGAGACTGAACTGCAGTGAAATTCAGCTCTTGAAATCCAGTTTTATTTCATGAAGGAACTTACGCGAAACCCAAAGGATTTGATCACAATGACCTATGGGTATATGTGGATATCTGGGGCTGCAAAAGGTAAGCTAGTTAACGTCAATGTGGACGCGAAATAGACTATAAATGTGTTATCTTCCATGTTGTCGCACACACGAAAAAGCAAACCGAAGACAGCGAAATTAAGATACTATGATGAAATGTGGTACAGAGACATTAGATGGAAAGATGATATGATGCTTAAGGAAGATACCGATTGCATAGCCAAACGTCAGTGAGACGAGTTATGAACTGTATCGCTAAATCATTATCTTACTGCTTCTAATGACTTACTAACTTTTTGGCCCATAAAAACATCTGATATCTCCTAACCACGAACACCGGAATAAGTTAGAACCACACATTTTGTGAGACCTTTTTCTATCGCTGTTCAGCGTAGCGTATGCCACAACTAATCTCTGCTGGTTACCTCTGTTATGCATGAGCTCTATATAGCACAGCCGCACAAATCAAAACTACTCAGATTAGCTTTTACAATGATGCAAGATGACATGCGCATAATACGCTCCTTTAAAGGAGTCAATATTTACTTTATTTTACTTTGCTTCGATTTTTCAAGAAGTTTATCCTATATACAGTACATCACCAACGAAGTGAATAAAATCTGAAATTTTGAGACTAATCCACGCTAGCAAGGTTGCTATGTAAAGCGCTTGAAGTCCTGAAACACTGACACTGTATTTGTTGAGCATCTTTCAAATACCATCCATGGTGTGTGATCTGCGTGTAATTTAGAGAGTCGCGGTGTGTAGTTTTTCTGGAATGTGTGACTCACTGGACGTAGTCTTTATTCTTTTTTGCGCATATCTTTCTCTAGCAACCGCTTCTAAAGATCTGGGACTATCGCTACTCCTGTATAAGACACTAGTTTCAGTTATCTATGAGACTGCTTCAAAGGCGACGCATTTCTTCACTTCACGCGCCAAAACGTATGTGATCTCACTCGAGAACGCCTTCCAAAGCATTAGGAGGTCAATATATGATCAAACTCAGGGTTTTTGTATGTGACTGCACCAACAAAACAAAAAGAATTCGGGCCTTCAAGACATTCTCATGGATGCGGGCAGAAACATACCAGAACATAATAAGGGATCTAAGTTTTACCCTTTTGGCTGCTGTGTGTTATGGGAAGACTTGAAAAGAGTCAATCGAATACTATGTAACCAAAGTCATCCGAACAGTATAACCCACCGACAGGTCACTATGACAATCGTCGTGGAAACTCCGAACAAATTGTTTACCCAACGTCGAAAACCCATTTGTGTTCGACCTTCTCCCTCTGCGAGTTTCCGAACACTGAAACACATTAAATGTTGACAATAATACCGCAGCATCTGTCGACTGCCTCAGTACAAGTGTGGATAGCTAAACACCAAAAATGACTTGCACCCAACTAGTCGGGTTACAGATTGAGCAGAAACAACGAACTGATTCCGTATCGCTTCCCTACAGTCACCATTATACTACCTCTCTTGCACTGCCGCTACTGTTATGGAATTAACCCAACATCATAATCTCACGTTGACGGCCAAACCACAAACGGTAATGCCATGCACTAAGGTACTACTGGTACCTAGACTCAAGGGAGACTAACAGCAATGACATAAGTATACAATGCCGAAAACTAAACGCAATAGTTAAGTTAAAATCTAATTTCTTAGAAAAAAAAATGAACAAGAGTGGACAGGAAGCGGAGTGCGACACGATATGCTACAGTGAACTTATTAGATACTCAAATGTAACCTACTTTTCTTCACAACCTAACCGATCTCACGACTTAACACCTATTTCCTAAAAATAGCCCCTTAAAGTAAACTCTCCAATCCGAAAAGATAAAAGAACTGTCTGTCGGTGCATTTTCATGGCATGCAACTCTTTATTATTTGCCCTTACATCTAAGTACTCTGCACCAACATAGTTTCGGTAGACCCGATATGGTAATGCTCAACAGGCAACACCATGATCATTCCCCTCGTGACCAGATAAAGGGTGGTGGTCCTAAGAACAAAAAAAAACCACGAATTTCACCTAAATGTTTATAACTTCATCATACGCTTGTACATAGGTATATAACAAGTTAATACCTGGTCAAATATCCTCTAATCTTTCTATTTCGTAGTGATATCTTCAGCTTCAGACTGACTTTCATTACTGTCGTGCGCACCTTCATCTTCTTCCACCTAACCTTACCTCTAAACAGTTTGTTCTGGACACTTCCTCAAGTAAGTTTAATAGTCAGTACAAACTCACCCAGATGTATCATGGTCGATCTACTCCTGCGTATTTTTGTGCCCCTGTTACAAATTTTGCCTGCTGCTCGCTTTTGTTATTCACTTTTTAGATTTACTTAACCAGTCCTGCATTCAAATGGAATCCTACAAATCGCATTCGTCCGTGGGAAATATTGGCACCGAAACCTGATGACGAACGCGCACACCCCAAGGTCATGAATGTGATGCGGCCTCACCTTCAAGAATATTGGATGATTCAAACGACGACCGGATAATCTTCAAATTCGAACTGAGCCTGCTTCAACATGCCTCCTATATGCCATAAATCACAGCATCTAATGTATAGCATAACATTGTACATAATAGTCATCTCTCATTACCAAAGTGATCAAACCTGTAAACTGGTTTGTATTCATGTAACCTTTCCAATATCCAATATTGATAGTGCGAGCGTAGAAAACTAGTAGTTTTTGATCTCTCGCGTCTAGTTCTTAGGGCTTGGTTCCAGTTGTTCGGTTTACTCCTGCAGTGGACGAGGAAATCCCCTCTGCTTTCTTGCTTTTAGCTTCGGTGAGGTGGATGTTTTGTGGGTTAGTAGGTTGTAATTTGTAGAGTGATTAGGGAGCTACGGGTTGCTGGGAAGTTTAGAGAACTGCCATGACTCCTGTCTGTGTAGGTACCTGGAAGAGAATAGTAAGGTAGTGGTAAAGGAATGAAGAGAGAATAAAGAAGAGAGTGAAGTAGCACCATAGAGACTCTGGGAGCTGGGTTAAGGCCGTATCGCTAACCATCCTTGCCTTTAAACAGGAGTTTGCGTAGATAGCCACTCCCCCTCCTGCTCTATGTTCCCTGTCCCTGCGGAAGAGTTCCATGCCAGCAACACGCATCTCTTCGTCGGAGATGTCCGATGAGAGCCAGGATTCGGTGATGAATATGATGTCGTAGTGCTGATGTTCACGCAGCGTCCTCATTTTTGCTACCTTCCCTATTAGCCCCCTAACGTTGCTGTACATACATATTAGAGTGTACCTGATGAGAGGGGAGGTCTGGATGTGTATTTTCGCGGGATGAGCGCTTACGTGGTTGAATTTAGCCTCGCCAGTCCTCATAGGACTGGCATTGTTCCGTTTTTTTGTGTTTTGTTCTTAACTTGGGTGGGGGCTGTAGCAGTGGTGGCTTCTTTACTTGATGTATCTAACTCACTGGTCAGCGCCTGTGTGACGACCACTGACTCCAGAGGTCTTGGTGGTTGCCGTCTCTCCTCTTGCCTTGTGGGTCTAGGCTTACTTTCACATATACGTATTGAGCCACCCATGCGATCTTTCGCATTATACCATGCGTGCAGAACGTCTGTGAGGGAGGCATATGAGTCGAACTGGACGGCAAGTAGTCTGGGATTGGGTATGGTCTTCAGGTGCGCTGGCCTTGGCAGTCTACTGACGCTGTTGGCCGGTATACTGTTGAGACCAACTTTGGTTGAGAGCCATTGCCATTGTTGGACGTCGTGAAAGTACCGATCTTTGACCGAGCTGTCACTTGGCAATTCTGGAATCCCATGTACAACTATAGTGTTGTTTCTGTTGGGATTTCCAACCGCTGACTTTCTCTCCTCCTCTCTTACTGACCATGGCTTGTCAGGCCTGGCCCGAATTTTACAGGCATTAACAACGTCCGGTTGTCGCGAGAGGAGGAGTGTGTCTTCAGCCTCTTTGGCGGTATTTAGGGACACACGTAAAGGGGGTGGCTTATCTCGGGGTGCATGGCTTCCTCGAGAAAGGCGACACAAAGTTGCAGGGAGGGGAGGGAGTCCCAGCATCTGACAGTAGTCGGTCCACATTCGGCTGTCAAATTGTTCCCTCTCGACCAACAATGAGTCTGTCGATACATCGACGTTGAACAAAATGATCGAGTTGGTCCTCCTGTGACCTGGGTTCGTTGTGGGTGGCACGCCCGACTTACCAATGGGTTTGAGTAATTCCACTGGTTGTTTCTCAGTCACGGTGTGTGGGGTGTTCGGAATGGGTTTCGTAGAGGCTTCGGCGGTCGATGTCTTTGGCCATGCGCTTGACGTCCCCTGGGGCCGGGTGGGGGTATGGAGACTTGACCTAATATGGTCCCCACGCGAGATGGCGTGCCCACAGCTGGAGCTCTAGGTCTGTTTCCAGGTCTCTCTGTGTTATCCTTTGGTGTTAACCCTACTTATTCGAGGATGCTGGTAGCTTTTGCGTGGCGGAGAGCATCTCCTTCAGGCTTTCTGTGCGGAGTGCGGGCATTTTCCTGCACTCTGGACAGATGTACCAGAACCACTTGCATGGTTGTCTCTTCATCAGCTTATAGTATTGTCGGGGGACTTTGGTATCGCAGTGGCAATGCACCCATCGTTGACACAGGTTGCATGCAAATGCCTCATCGACTACCGAAACAACTTTGGTGCAAACACTGCAGCCATCGGGTGTCGTAATACAGCCTTCCTTCCATGAATAAGGTGCTACGGATTGTGGCGAACTGCTTGTGGCTGCCTTGTTCTGAAGCCTTTTACGTCGTCTTCTATTTCAGGCATGGTATGATCCTTGCTCAAGATAGGACTAGTTTGTGACGGGCTAGTGCTTCTCTGTGTCACCTGTCTGATGGCTACTGGAATTCTAGAAACATGGGTTGGCCACTTCTTCAGAAGTTCGATGTTCTGCCCTACCTCTGTTTGTCTTCTAGTACAGACTAGTGTGTTGTTTAGGGTGTTACTGGCCGTTGTTGTGCACGACCGCGTTATCCGTGTCAAAGCTTCAGACCTAGCGTTTTGGGCAGACATGTCGCTATGATATAAACTTCTTGGGAAAACAAGTAGTTAACAACAATAAGAGGGTTGAAGACTGAATGCAGCAAAAGGACAGAATAGAAAAGGGAAGATAATTTATGTTGGCTCACCTTCAGACACTTGTCACTTGATCCTCTGCTCTTGACCAACGAGTTTAACCGTAAGCTCCAGATGCGTATGTATAACCAGGAAGATATTTCCTGGGGAATGACCTCCGAGGAGAACCGAGAGCTAAGGCAGTTTGGCAGCTGAAACGCCCAAGAACCACTGACAGGAGGTAGACCGGTTGGTTCAAAGGAATAATAATGCCAATTTTCAACTGTTGAGGAGTGAGCTGACGAATGCGCAGGGGTGAGGTGCGTGGACGGACAGAAGTGCTGCAAACGTTCGATGTTTTTAGATTGAGTATTGAAAGTGGGAGTTTTTCATTGTGGAAAAATCCAAAAGCTGAGAGACGAGCGAAACACGTCACTACTCAAGGAGCGCGCCACCCGTTGCATGAAATATATTATTATTATTATTATTATTATAAGGCGCCCACCTCTCCACTTACTAGACCAGTACTTTCAATAATACTTATTGCCATTGTCCCTATCATAATATTGACTCTTCGCTTCCCTCTTCCTAACTCCCTGTGGTTTCGTCACTTTCGTTGAGGTATCTGGTGTAACTGTGTTTCCCTGCCTATCTTGAATTTACGTAGGTTACCCATTTCTCTCCATTTTACTTTCCTGCAGTCTGTTTATGTCATTTCTTCTCTTTTGTTTCCCGTGGTAATCTTCTTGTTCTCCCTATCTTCCCTTCATGGACAGATCAAACAACGGCTCGGAGACCGATGTTTGAGGAAGTCATCTGCAAAACAGTTCCAGGACAATTAATACATGAGGGCACCCAACACCCCTCCTCTTGTTTTGTAGGGCTAAAGAAGGTGAATGAGTCTACTGCATAGCAATCCAAAAAGACCAAACACCATTCCAAAGACGTAGAAGAGATTACAAACAAATCAGTTTGTCTTTACAAGCCTGAATAGTAGGTATCGGATATTGGACACTAGAGCCTTTGTTCTACCAGAATACTTTTTGGAATTGAAGGTCACCGTGGAGTTTCAAGTCACCGGAGTCGGTCTGCAAGTTCGGGACCAGATTCTTGCTTTCAGTTACTGGATAAAGACTAGAAGCAAGAGATAAGAAATTACCAGTTTCCTACGCTCGTACTATCAATATTAAGCATTGGACTAGAGTGTGAGTATTAAGTTTTAAAATGATTCATCTGACTTAGCATTCATTTCAAGTAATGTCAAGTGAAATGTTGCAGTCTTTTAATGACCACTAAGGATTCGGATAATCCGTCAGAAGTATTTGCAATTACTGTTGACTACTGGTTCCAATCCTTTTATACTTAAGTAATTCTACTAGATCACAAGGCTTTCACCTACACAGAATAGATATACTTCATTCTTTTTCATTCTGTGAAATACTCTTTTTTTCTGGAAAATATTGTCTACTGTATGCGGACCAATGCATAGCACATAAGAGCTTATTTCAGTGAAGTTAAACCGTCTCAAGCAACTACTAGTACATATGCAACAATCTGTCGCTAGGACGCAAGTATGGTAGTTATCATATAAGTTTTGCAAATCCGAATTCATGCAGGACGATAGGTCATTTAATTGATTGTCAAATTTCAAGGTGCTTGCAGTTATTTGCCTTCGATAAGTTATTTCAGTTACCTTCAGTATAGCGACTAGCCATAATCAAAGCTTTTAAGAGAGAACCCAGCCAGCACTTGTTTCGGGTGCACACTGTAAGTTTAAGGCAAAAGCCCGAAGATTTTACTTCAGGCGCAGATGAAGAGACGTAAAATATTCCCCGAAATTTCAACACTTTCCCCGAAACTGTCAAAAGTTTCAAAGTGCGACCGAATTGTATGCAATGCGACCGAAGTTCATTAAGTGTAGGCAGTGTGCCCAAAGTTTCGGAGTAATCTATATCCACAGTTCTAAAAAGCCATACTTTGTGATATTATTATACATATCGTTCACGTTTCATTGCCGCATGTGTTTGTATATTACAAATCAATGAAATAGAGATGGCCCACAGAAATAGTTGAATAATCTAAGGGACACCCAAACTTCGGTAAGTGCGCGCGAAGTTCCTTCAGGCTAAAACCCGAAAACTCTAGAGTGCGCCCAAAGTAAATATTGACTCCTTTAAAGGAGCGTATTATGCGCATGTCATCTTGCATCATTGTAAAAGCTAATCTGAGTAGTTTTGATTTGTGCGGCTGTGCTATATAGAGCTCATGCATAACAGAGGTAACCAGCAGAGATTAGTTGTGGCATACGCTACGCTGAACAGCGATAGAAAAAGGTCTCACAAAATGTGTGGTTCTAACTTATTCCGGTGTTCGTGGTTAGGAGATATCAGATGTTTTTATGGGCCAAAAAGTTAGTAAGTCATTAGAAGCAGTAAGATAATGATTTAGCGATACAGTTCATAACTCGTCTCACTGACGTTTGGCTATGCAATCGGTATCTTCCTTAAGTATCATATCATCTTTCCATCTAATGTCTCTGTACCACATTTCATCATAGTATCTTAATTTCGCTGTCTTCGGTTTGCTTTTTCGTGTGTGCGACAACATGGAAGATAACACATTTATAGTCTATTTCGCGTCCACATTGACGTTAACTAGCTTACCTTTTGCAGCCCCAGATATCCACATATACCCATAGGTCATTGTGATCAAATCCTTTGGGTTTCGCGTAAGTTCCTTCATGAAATAAAACTGGATTTCAAGAGCTGAATTTCACTGCAGTTCAGTCTCAAGCCCTATTTACTTTTAAGATTCTACGGTCAATATAAGGTCCACTGTCGCATTGAGACTATGCGAATTTCACTACTATATTACCATTTAACATTTCTAAATACCTAACTGTAATTTTGAAACCCCTTTAGTGAGCCTAGAAGGTATGACAAAAACATGACAAACATTGCCACAGAAACCTGAGAAGAACAAAATTATAACTAACTCATTTACTAGCACTCCAGTTTAATAAAGCTTAGACATCATTTCTTATTTGTCGAACTCAGCTTGAACTTTAGTCGAAACATGTGCACTCAGTTCTCATAAAAACAAAGCCACGTTTTCTTCAAAGGTCACACACTATGGATGGTATTTGAAAGATGCTCAACAAATACAGTGTCAGTTTTTTCAGGACTTCAAGCGCTTTACATAGCAACCTTGCTAGCGTGGATTAGTCTCAAAATTTCAGATTTTATTCACTTCGTTGGTGATGTACTGTATATAGGATAAACTTCTTGAAAAATCGAAGCAAAGTAAAATAAAGTAAGAGCCGCGGAACTTCTGTCATACTACTAAAAAATCTGGTGGATTTGAAAATATATGGAAAGTCATCGACGAAAGTTCTACATGTGACAGTTTTAGGTTACGTCTGCTCCTAAAATGTGGAAGCCCACCAACAAGATTTCAAAATGACAACGAATGTGTTTAACCATAATCCTGTAGAGTGGCCTCGGGCAAAGCAAGGTTTAGCCTGGTTTTGACCCACTGCAAAGGCTTAAATATTCGGTGCCCATTCATTAGAAACAATATTTCATACTGTCATCAACCCTAACACAATAGATGTCCAGTATTTCTGTTCAACCTGTTAACAACGCAAAATTATTCATCGAAAAGAACTTTGTTTGCCACAATTTCTAATCTTCGATACTGCAAATATTTGTTTACTATTAGTTTAAATAATCCGTTTACTGTAAATAGCGAAACGCTGATTTGAAGGAGTTATATTCTGCGTTCCATCCATTTGGAGTCACGAATACTGAGACCGTAGTTTGTGATCATTCATGCTTCTTTACTCCCAATAGAATTTGGGTTAGTTGAAGGCTTTTAACAGATATGTAGGATACTTTTATGTGGAATGTATATCCAGCTGACTTGTCTCGAATCGGATGGAACACGCATCCTACACTCCACTGTTAGACAGTAGCAAATATAACGCAAATATATTTCATACTTACTGTTATTCGTTATCGGTCACTACATTGACAGTCTGTCATCATCTACGAAATATGCCTTATATGTTCGAATTTATCATGCTAGTGGTATCGGTTTACGTCTGTGTGACTTTGCATCCGTGTGCACGCTTGCACAGTAAACACTGAGTCAAACCTATCTTATCAAGGCTGATGATATTTTACTGCTGAGACCTTGATAAGTGAGAGATCAACTGCCTAAACTCACTAACTGCGACTTCACTGTTGGATGTTGGTGTCTTCAGTTTACTTCCGAATCTGATGGATGATGTTTAAACGTAGTCCCGATATGTATGTGTGGAGAGCGGTGTAGACCAGGAGGCAAGGTTAAATGCGTCCAGATATTTCAGTCAAACTGACCAACTGAATATTTGACATGCCTGATTGGATGGAGGATAATGCAGTTGAAAGCTACATGCGTAAATGTAGGTGTTTGTGAAATGATTTCAGGTGTTTCGGGATGAAGAGAAATAATTTGTTTGTCACATTGAAATGGACAGATATTCTGTAAACCTTTTGTGTTGATGGTGGAGACATTGTTGATCGATTTTAATCTATGTCATACTGAATAAACCAGGCCGTTTTCAAGTGAAAAGTCTGATAGCGGTGAATAATGGGAAGATTGTTTGGAAATCGTTTGGAAATCCGAATCGTATGGTGCACAGTCGTGCTGTGCACTTTCGTGCAGTATGCAGTGAGCCACAGCCATTTGAGGAAGGGTGGTGATATCATTCTACTGCCGAAAGTTCGGTAATTGATGCTAGGTTTGAAGCAGTAACCCATCGGGGGGAAGTGGACTTCGTACAAAGTACTTATTTGGGCAACAGTTATTTGGATATTAATGAGATTTATATGGTTGGGGTTAAAATAGGTCATTTCAAGTGAAGCAGTTAGTGGCAAACAAAGTATGTAGGCCCAGTGTAAAGCAGTGCCACGTTTACTACCCATTTAAATACTATCCCATCTATCGATAATGAAATACATTTTCTCCAATCTGTTCAACCTTCACCACGCATTCTCGTCACTGGCTTGTCTCATGCTGTATTAAGTAGTAATCCATGTGATCACGTATGCTAATTATTCAGATGACGAATTTGTCGCTCTATGAATCCACTAAATCGTGAAGTTCTCATTGTTGTCTGTTTTTTAATGCATGATCTGTTTAAAATGATCCATTGCGTAAGATGGGGATTATCGGGGAATGTACTGTGTTATTTTCTCCAGGGGGATCTTTACTTTCCCATTACTTTGTAAACCTAAAGCAATCAATCAGTGTGATTAGTTTGAAGACAACAGATCTAAGCAGTTGCTTCATACTTCATCAAAAGTTGTACATCTTATTTCATGGTTTAGTTTTTTGATGACATTTTCTCTTGATGCGTCGATTATCTTACTGCCTTGTATCTGAATGTGCTGATGTGAGGTTTGACAACTTGGAGCGTTACACAGTATTCTCAGGTCTCACACCGACTAGACAGCTGTTAACTGAATACATAGTAAATTGACTGCCAAATCTCAAGCGTGTTTAATTTGTGCATTTTTTGATTATGGCTTCCAACGGCACCCCTATAAACCGATACAATGGCTTAATAAACTTTGGATTGCAAAGAAATCATTAAAAATGCAAACAAACTTTTTCCTCGCTGGAATCGGATGCAGGTAATGATGCCGTTTATCGAAAGGCCTCGGGAAGGCAGTTGGCCGATTTGTCCTCTCTCTCGACGAAAGTAAACGTAAGAATGAGGATATTGAATATCCGCACCATGTATGAACCTAGCATGGCTGCCCGGATTGTGAAAGAGATGAGAACGTATGGCATGGAAGTGCTTGGAGTCTGCGAGAGCAGATGGAATGGGAGTGGACTCCTCAACCTCTTGACTGGTTAGTCAGTAATCTAATCCGTTATTGTCACCCAGATGACAGCGACGAACACACTGGGTTTTGGAGCGGCTATCATGATGTCTTCAAGAATGCTGAAGGCCCTCATGCAGTGGGAACCAATCTTCTCCTCGAACATGGCAGCAAGATTCAACTCAAAAGGAAGGAAAGTCACAATTATACAATGCTACGCTACGCACCTGAAAATAATGCAGATCAAGAGAAGAAGAAGGAATTCTTCAGACAACTGCAATCAGCACTGGGCAAGACACTCTGACATCTTTTGAGGCCTGAGAATTTTGAGTGACCTTAATTTTTAAATCCCCTCTCCTCCCCTTTATCTTTGTCTACTTTAATATCAGTCTTTCCTATCCAGTTGTTCTTTGAGTGCTACTGTGCAATGTGACAACTTGAATTGATACGCTTATGTGCTAGGTTCATTGTTGATTTCGTCTATCTGTCAGTTTTTAGATTTATGTTACAACTTCTTCAGATATGCGAATTTATTAGACTGTTTTGTAATAAGTCAAATGAAGCTATTATCCAAAGAAAATAAATTGTATATTTCACTGTTCCAATAGTTATTTCACCCATATTTTTACTGATTTCCTTGTAAATATTTTATGCCAGTTTGACTGGAACACTTTGCCTCCATTCTTTTTTGTTTTATCTTAGTAGACCAACAATTATGTCCAAACGTCTGACATATCAAGCCTCACATGTAACTCATGATCAACGTGTTTCATTCTGTAGAAAAAGTTGGTTTCGTGGTTGTACAGTTTGGTTTACTGGTAGGTGATGATAACCTTATTTATCTGCATTTTTGTATTTAACCAACTGAATACGTCTGGCAGTTTGTAGTGTGAAAAATTATTTCAGAGTATCGTGTAAGCAGCTTAAAAACACGTTCATAAAAGTCCCCTTGTTTCACTGGTCAAGCGTGTGATTCAAGTAAGTAATCGAAAAAGGCAGAACGACCACTGAGTAATTTGTAGTGTTATTGTATATTACTTTTTGATTCACATTGGGACATAGTTTATTGGATAACATTAAACCAACTCGTTGAACCAGTAAAAGTGAAACGGTTTATAATTTGTCCTGGTGCGAACTTGACAGACGCAAATACTAATCACTAATTATTCGAACTTGTTATATACCCACCAATACCAAGAACACGATAGCGTAGTCGGATGGAATAGTATATTTGGATGGTTATGCCAAAATACCGATGCGTTCCAACCAACTGGCTAGAGTCGAATACGAGCAATGCAACGTAACACGACAGCGTGCCAAATGGCCAGGATGCTTGACCGGTTGCCTTCAGCCTAGCGAGTCCAGTTAAACTATAAAGGTCAGCATCAATGTCAAAAGTCGTCAAACCCTAAGCTATTGATTTTGGGGAAGTGTATGACGCTACAACGGTTTTTGCCTTTTCATTGTCTACTTAATAACTTGAGCCTACCCTTACATATCTCAAAATGTAAACTTCACGATATAGTGTGAATTGACAAAAGTAAACAGATGTGAATTATTGGTTTCCGAATCAGTGGTTGAATGATTGTCGTGTGCGCCGCGAGACTTGACAGTTCAGAGTCGTGGATATAAACTGCTGAGAGGTCTCGGACTAGGAATAGACAACTGTTCAATACTTCTTTACATGATGTCAGTTGTTGATGAATACTACCTTGAAATCGATTAAATTTCCGAAACCTCCAGACTGAAATATTTTTGAATTGGTAGTTTGTGTAGAATGATTGAATAATTAATCACAAAGTAGTATTCATCATGGACTGATGTTTATTAAAGAGTGGTCGACAACTTGGACGCTCCTAGATTCGAAATAACAATGTGATATGGGGACGTTGCAGAAACTAGTAACAGACGATTCAAGAAATCACTGACTAGAAATTTCTCTGCAACCAGGTTGATTCCTCCTTACCGAACATAATGTACTTTTTAGTTGTCAGAAGTCGACAGGTACCCTTCTTATGTTACCTCCAACCGTATAAATGCATTTACGCGTAGTTCCTGAAGTAGATACATTGGAAGAACAGGAAGAAGAGTGTGCTTCAGATTTCATGAACACGTTTCAAAGAGTTGTACAACTAAAGGCAAGTAACATTATAAACAGGGCAATCGCTGAGCACCTGATTGACCGTGGACACCAGGCAGATATCTTCACTTCTTTCAATATAATGAGGTGACAAGCTCTCTCGATTCTTCTGAAGTTTGTCATTAAGGAAGACATCAAACGCTTCAAACCTGAATGTGTTGAAGAAGAAGAAGAAGTCTGCAGTCAACCTCTGCCTACCTTTGACAACCTTATCTTGACTGTTATTTAATTGCATTTTCTTTTGTTCATGTGGACTGTTTTCAGTTAAATGTGCTTAACTCACAATATTCTGCACGTTTTGTTTAGTAAATTATTTATCAAATGACCTTTTTAAATAATCTGTTAACGCTAAGTCCCTCAATGTTTTGACTGCAACCTTTGTAGCTTCTTTCACTCTAGAAACTTCCATCGAACTATGTAGATAGTTGGGACACTTTGCTACTGCTTATTAACATTGCTTAAACTAACCATTATGACCTCCAACTATGCCAATACTATTTTAGCCCATTTTAACTACTGACATTTAGTCCATTTTCTTCCGATGAATTAAAGTACGTTAAATATATCTTGATTGTGTAGGCTGTGAGCAGTTGACAAGATACCAACGGAATTAACTGAATCCGTTTTACTCCACTCCCATTGTAGTTCCTACTTTTTAGGTATTCTTATGAAAGTGAATTCGAGTATAATCAGTGACCCTCCGGTCTACGACAGCAATTACTGAAATAAACAATTGGGTTGTGAAGATTGCTTTGTTGTAAAGTAAAGAAACGGGCGTTTAAGGCCATTCAATGCGCAGAACTGTAGCTTACTTGGTGATGGTTAGCAGTTGAGTCTAGGACGCACGTCTTATCCTATTTAGGACTTGTCAGCTGGATGTATCTGCACCATAGTGAGTGATGGTGTTCGCACCGAGACTCAAACCCAGTACCCATCGCTTTAAACGCCAAAGTGGTATCCACTAGTGGGCACGAGATCCACCTCTTATGCAATACTGATAAGAAACTGTATTATTCGGTTCTCATTGTTCACCCGATTTGATAATCATGTTATGTCACTTAGCTTTAAGGTCACATTATCAGCTTAATTATTAGAAGTTGGACAATCGTGACATGTAAATAGCGTGATATTGACAATCACACATTTAGCGTATAAAACTTATAAGGACAATTCAAACACTTGACATACGAAAATTCAAATGAATATGTTTTTTGAGTTTTAACACAATTTATCTCAGGAGTTTGCATAATTGTCTTTACACACAAGACATTATGTTGATTGAAGGCGAAGTGAAAGCCTGAGTCTTAGGATAATTCGAAACAGTGACCTTCAGGTTATCAGCCTCGTGGTTTAGCAGCTAAGCTACGTCAGCATCTTGGTCTCCTAGCTGAATTGGTAGATCACCGAGGCGATAACTTGGAGGCCACCACCTTTTCAAGTCCTGCCTCAACTCGGGTTTACGTTTCATCACATTATATTAGTATGCCAACAAAGTTGAATTAAAATCGCAGATACTCCTATCACCAAAGAATACCATTACTCTATTACTATCAATACTACTCATAGTAATAACATTAATATTAGTAGGCAGACAAGTGGTCATTACTATTTCTACTCGACTGTAAATACTGTAACATGTAGATTACAAAGCATGGAGTTGTGGCTAACTGATTTATGGAGATGACTTTCGACCAATTAGTCTTGGGTTCAAGTCCCGCTCCACCTATCAAGGTTTGGGCAACCAGGTAGGTGGTATTATTGGCTCTCAAACCATAGGTATGTCTCACTGGCTACTGCACTAATGTGCACAAAGTTGTTGGGAACATTTCAGCTTTCAATTCGAGAGTGGAAAGTTGCCATATATCACAATGTTTTTTCTAAAACAAGAGCAAAACGAAACAATAATCACTTTTTTTTCCAGGTGATAGGTTTTTTCATACAGTATTAGATTTTCAGCGTGTACAGTATTGTTAAGTGAAATAATTATAGCTTCTCAGTAATGTTGATAATAAGAGTATTGTTAGACAATAAGATTTCATGACTAACTGTTGTTACGTTATCGTCTAGTTTGAAGGAGGCAATGAATAGAGAAGCATGTTTAAGTTTACTAGTAGCCATGATTCATTCAACCGATACGAAAATCTGCAACTCAAGATAAGTATTTCAGGAGTAGTGAGTGATATGATGTATTGGTGTGCGTCTAAAAGTTCATTGTCATCTAGTTCAACTGTTGTTTTTTCTTTATTTATTATCTTTGGCATTATTGATACTATGTTATAATTGAAAGTGAAATTAAAATCTGCCCCCTGGTAGGATATGATCCGGTGACCTCTAAGTTATAGGCCTGGGCGTTCTATCAACAAATTATCATGAGCGGAAAGTTACGCATCCGGGTAAAACTCATAGGTCTCGTATCCCAGTTGGCAGAGCGCTGGGTCCCAAACCAAAAGGTCTCTGCTTCGAATCCTTACATGATATGATTTGAAGACAATATTTTTAGAGATTAAAACAATTTGAAAGGGAGCAGTTGGATGTATTACATTCGGCGAAAAGTTTTTGGTAACCCATGGTTCAAGCAGATCACCATATTGACTGTGAACTGTTTACACCATATTCAGTATACAAGTGCAGACATTTAGTTTATTGGTTTAAGCACTTGAGTTTTAACTAATAGGCGTTGAGTTCATATCTGTCGACATCTGATTCAACCTGAAAACTGGTTAGTTTCATAAGTAATGTATTCTGAGATCAAAGGGGATTTTAATTTTGAGGTAGTATTCATCACGGACTGACATCATTTAGAGTACCATTGAGAACCTGTGAGCACTGAACAGCTCTCTCGTCCTGATACAGGACACCCCAGCGGTACTCACCCACGACCGGGCTAGGGATTGGACTCAGGACCTTCAGGTTTCACGGCGAACGTGTTAACCATTCAGTCACTGGGTCGGAGTTCAGTGTTTCACGGTTTCCAACTTCTGTCAATCCACGATATAGCGTGACTATCACCCAAGGCCTTCAGTTGACATTCGCTTCCCTTCCAATTAGTCGACCCCACAGGTCACGGCTTCAGGATATTCATGTCAAAGCATGTCACTATTGAGCACTATATGGTAATGCAGTTTGAAATTTATGGGGATTTCATTTTTATTTTTACTCTAGTTACATTTCATCTAAGGTGGGATTACTTTTTAATACATACAGAGAAACAAACAGTATATGTTTTCAGTTGGTTTCATAAATTGTTGAAAAGCGCAACATTTTATATGTTCAGTGCATGCATACGTGAACAGAATGTAACCGAAAGTTTAGTCCTGCATAATATTACTTAATTTAAATCTCTAGGATGACCTTATTGTTAGTTGCTCAGTTTAACCAGCAACAACACGTTTGTGATTTTGATAAATTGGCTGTTGACTACTACACTTTGTGATAATAATGTTAATCATAAGATTATTGACGCGTTTCGTCATATTTGGGACTTGTCAGCTGGATATACTTGACCCAAATGAGAGGTGGTATCCGCAGTGGGGCTCGAACGTATTATCCATTGCTTCAGAATCCAGAGCGTTGATCACTAGGCATCTGAGATACGGAAGCCATCATTGTAATAATAGGCTTGTTCGAGGCTCACTTTACTTATGAGGGTCTAGGCAGCTAAATCGTATCATTAGCCCGGACGCAATAAGTGTGGCTCATCATCTGTTGTATGAACGCGCACATGGTTGCTGAGTGGATTCGTTCGTTCAACAGTCTTTAAAAGTTATGTGGTAGAAATACGCAAAGAAATAGAGACAGGACATTGTCATTTACAGCTGAACAGAAAGCATAGATGTCTTTGTGTAGTGTAGAGTCTCTCACTTCTTATTTTAGTTGTCTTATGAACTTGCAGCAGAAGGACGATATTTCTCTGTAAAAATCAAAGCAAATGGTTGCGCTTCCTAATGGACTGCTATATCTGATAGTTTATGTAAGAAGATCTTATAAACAACATAACCATGTGTAATCGCATGTATAGCGATAGCTGAACTTTTCTCTAGATTCCTTACTTTATTAGAGCATTCGAATCTTGATTTAACCAAGCTGTTGTGCACGAATGGCCTAATTTACTCTGGTCGACTACTTTGACCTCACAATCACTGCAAGGGTTTTATTAAACTAAATTATCCCGCTGAGTGCGATCAATAGGATCTTTTAACCTGCAGAGCTTACTTCTAAGTGTTTGTCGGTTTAAATGCCGGTCTAATCTCAACCTTATTGAGAATCGTACGTAATGTCTTTGAGATATCTTCCTTGTTAGCCCATACTGTAGAAGTTTGGAATCCCCTCTTCACAGTGTTGTCACCATTATTATTACTATCATCATTATTATTATCATCACTACTAATACTACTACAGTTATAAACGCCTGTGTTACTAACACTAGTAGTACCAACACTAATACTAATATTCATGGATAAATTCCTTAGTAACACCAGTGTTAATAGAAGATGTAATAATGTTAATATTACTAATATTGGCACCACTGTTAAGAGAGGATTCAACACCAAATAAGGAAGGCACCTCAGATATTACGTAGGATTCTTAATACTATGTGACTATTATCTCTTTCCTATTATTACACCTACATCATCCAAAACTGTGGGATTTCAAAGTAAATTTAATTCTCTGTTATTTGTACTGTGGAAGACAAACTTTCTGTTTACCCAGCAGAAAATGTTTAGGTGGGATAGATTTTGAAGTGTGTTACAGCGACATGCTTCAAAGGAATTACGACAAAGGTTTTCACTGATAATTCTCTCTTCAAGTCATTTCATCAGTATACTGCAGGAATTCTACCAAGCGTCACTCGTGTTGTATCTTTATATGATCGATAAAACATTCGTAGTTGTAATTTTGAGGGAATATATCTGTGAATGCACCTAAACAGGATAGTTCACTATTCTTAGACTGCATAACTGACAGTTCCTACCAGTTTCATATTGCAAAACAGTTAAGAGGTGTGGTAGTATGCATATAACAAGTTTTATCCTGTTTTTAAGTGTTTTGTGGTGGATAATATCTGTACCTCAAGTGCATAATCTTAGCTGTGTTGGGTTCTCTGAGCTGAATGGTTTAATCGTGAAGCTTTCATTGTCTTTCTAGGGAGCATCATCAGCACTTACTTCGATATGAAGTTAGCTGTCAGTATTTCTCTGTGATTGATTCTATCTCTGGCCTTGATGAAGTGGTTTGCCATTAGTAGTTTCTTTTGATTGTTGTGCCATTGTGTCGACGAACTGAAGCTGTTTAAAATCATGAGTTTCTGAACAACCTGATGACTTTATCGGAATGTTTTGCCCTGAATTTGTCGCAAGATTCTTTATTCCTAATATTTTCACTCTCTGGATTTTACGTCCCGTTTTCTACTGTGGTAACGTCTGTGACTGAAGCATCTTTGTCTGGGCGGGGTTATGCATGCACGCTGCTAAGGAGCTTCGTACTAAGACGAAACAGCTGTCCTGTGCCTCCAGGACTTCAGTAGTTTTGAAACTAATGTCAGTGCCTGGTAAATACTCCCATGAAGTCAAATCTTTATAAACCTCAAACTACATGATGATATCAATTCGTAGGAAATTTAGGTCGTGGCAGGATTTAAACCAAGCTAGACTATCTGTCTGACAGTTTGCTAACTCACCTATGAAGTCTAACTGCCAACCAGAGATTAATTTTACCTTGATCATTCAATATATTTTACTCGACTTCCGTAGAAACTTGGGTTTCTTTCTAGCATGACTCATCATTTGTGGATAGGAAGATCAGTTTACCAACTACGGTTGAATCAGCTAATCTAATTTACCGTGGTGTTGCACTGTCATTATATTAATTTGCTTATAAGTAATAATGTTAGACGTAAATGGTTTTTAAACCATCTGTATCATCCAGTAAATTGTTCAGTTGTGTTTCACTTCAGCTCACACTTTAAATCCACCTTATGTGTATTATTTCCAGGTCTCAGTGGAGCTGGTAAAACCACACTGGCATTCGCTTTAGAAAAATATTTAGTCAATCAAGGCATATCAGCCTATGTGTTAGATGGTGATAATATTCGTACTGGTTTGAATAAAAACTTGGGATTCAGTGATGAAGATCGTGTGGAAAATATTCGGCGAATTAGTGAGGTGGCCAAATTATTCGCCGATGCCAATAACATTTGTTTGACCAGTTTCATCAGTCCATTTGCAAGCGTAAGTCTTTGCTTTTTCTATAAAAAAGAACTTCGGTAATCAGGTTTTCTATATTTTTGGCTCTCCGCGCCAAAGAAAAACAGAATAAAAAAATAACTCAACTGGGCTATTATTATCATTGATGATGTGACACTGAAAAGTGAATTGATAAAGCACGTAAAGGGTGGTTTGTAAACAACTCAGCCTAATGACTGAATGGATGAAACAATTGTTCAGTGCTTCCAGGTTTTCAGTGGTTCTCTAATCGATGTCATTTTATGATGAATAGTATTTTCAAATTAATAAATATGTGGGAAAAGTTGCAAAGGGGATTTGCCCACATCATTACAACCGATTTTGAGTCATGTTAATATCCTCAGAATTTCAGCCAAGGGACCCATTACGCATGACGCTTGTAGCTTCTTGCAGCCTAAGTCCACTCGAATCGTCATGTTACATTCGAATGAATTATGACTTGGGATGTGTAACACATACTTCTATGTAATTTTTCGCTGACAACTGTATACCCCTAGTTAACTCAGTATTTTCTTCACTCCTAAATAAACATTCATTGGAGCATATAAGAGAATGTCTGTGGTTTTGTGTCATTGATCTTCAGCATTAATGTTTCATGATTATATCTGCTGTACTCTATACTCACCTCATTGTATGTCATATATAGTGATTAGACTTCATGTATGCATACGGAGATTTATGCTGGGGTCCCCAAAACGATAGGAGTCAGTGGTTCGAGGACTCTTGGTGAAATGACTAAAAATCAGTCACAATGGCGTAGATGTATTCACTCTTTGACATCTAAGGCTTGGATGTTTTGACTAACATTTGATTTTTAAATGGTCTCTCCTCCCATACACCTTTGTCTACTTTGAAATCAATCTTTCCCATCCACTACTGTGAGGTGGGGCAACTTGAAGCGATGCAGTTCTCTTCGAGGTTCTACATTTATTTTTTGTCTGTTGTCTGTCTGAAACTAGTCGGGTAGAGTTGTCGGGTCTGTGTATTTTTGCACTTTGATGTGACTTCATAAGTTGTAATATAATTAGTTTGATACTATCAAGAATCTCATCGTCAATAGATATTTCTTCCAGTAATTGCTATAGCTAATGATATATAGTGTCTAACAGTGGAATCCACGACGCATGTTTCGTCCTATTTGAGACTGTTCAGCTGGATGCAGGCAACATAATAACTACACCTATTTCACTTTCTTCTTTCCAGATGGTCGATAGCCAGGTTTTTACTTCTGTTGTCGTCCACTTTAAAATTTGACTTGTCTAACGGTAGGTTTTCTATTCACGTATTCATTTAAGCTCTTGCTATATTGATTTTAATGTTTAGGTTGATCTTCAGCTCAACCTTCTAAATATTTAGTCAGGCTGTCGTACAAAATACCTAAGAGAAGTAAAAACGTCTGCGTGTTGTGAAGTCGCATTATACGATTGGCAATAATAACATTTTGTTATTGTCTTGTCTAAATTAACAGAAATAACTAATTGTTTCATAAGTTTGAGCAGGACAGATCATCTCACAGTAATCAAGTGTTTAAACAGGCTTGTTAACCTGAGGCCCAGAATTGTCTCTGAATGGGACAGCATTTTTATTTCATCAAGTAAACCATTGAAATCGCGTATAAATCGTTTATAGGATGACTCTAAAGCCTACGTAGGAAGACAGAATCAATGCAGAACCTCGCGCACAAGTCAATCGGTTCAATTTACCGCACAAAGAACAAGTGGATACAGAACGACTGATATCGAAGTAGATAACGTCGTATAAGGGAATAAAAAATTTGAAGATGAAGGTTGATGCTAATATTCAAGCCTTAAAAGACGTTAAATAGTGAATACATCTGCTCCATTAATACTGATTTTCAACCATTTTACCAAGAATCCTCAACCATTGATCCTATTGTGTCAAGGACTCCAGCCAATCATGTAGTCTACATCTTTCCGCACGGTTGAGACCAGTAATCAGGGACTTCCCGGAATATTGCCATATCTTGGTCTAGCCACCTTAAACCCTCTTCCAACCCAATCCATTTTCTCCCAGGCGTTGCATGTTGAGATAGGCAGTGGCTTGGCATACGCACGGCATTTCCAAGCTATCTCAGTTAACTAAGGTTCACAACCTCACCAATCGACTTTCCTGTCTCGCCTTGTACCCTTTGTCTGACCTCAACATTGCTCACACGGTGATTCCACTAAACGTAGGCAATACAGCGAAGACATCTGTGATCAAAACCTTGTAACTGTTTCATGTCTTCCACTTTTAACGGTCATGTTCCACAGCCATACGACAGGACAAAATTAACTGCAGCGCAATATACTCGTCCTTTGCTAGATGGTGCGATACCTTGCCGGTTGATGCCACAGATGATGCAAGTTTACAGACTTCGAACGGACCTTTCGTAGTCAACCTACCCAGCCTTATCAACGATTGAAACAACCAATTAGATGTCTCTGTTTCGTCTGGGAAGGTAGTTTCCTTTTGAAGTGTAAAGAAACGTAACTGGTTATCTCAGTAGTCGTTTGGGTACTGTTTAGAGAGTTTGCTGCTCACACAGGCAGTTGATGTTGAACCAATGGCTGACAGTTTGGAATACCGCTCCACCTACAATGGTTTGAGTAGTCAGTTAGAATCATTAGCCGTCACACAATGGGTATATTTCATTGTATACAGCATGAATAGAGACAAGGTTCTATTCCTTTAAGTAATGTCTGTCTATAGAGTTGTAAAAAACATTTAAAATGTAAATTATAGCTAAAATTTTCAAATATTACTAGAATTACTTCCATCCAAAGTTAATACATCTCATATTTTATCGAATTTATCTGTGATTTGTAGGTTGAAATTCCTAATTTCCTGGTAAACCTCTTCTCAAAACAACACCAAACGCCTACAAGTTTAATAACTACATCAATGATAAAGTGCGATATTGTCTGCATATCATTTAGGCAAATGTCTTATGTTTCAAGGTTATGCAATTTTCCGATCTTACTATACATTTGCAATTGGAAATCATGTTATACGAACAGCTAAAGTTTGTTCAAATTCCAGTTGATGCTCAAGACTAGTCGAAAACTAAGTTCTTGGACACCACTCAGTAGTTTTGCAATGGCCATTGCGAGCGAAAGTAAATTTATGATAGATTACTGTTTGCATAGTGTACAAGTATTGTAGGGAAAAGTTGCGGCTAACTCAGTTAGGGTTTATCCATATATCTACCCATCATCGTCAGAGAGGAAATTGATTGAATAACGAGCCAACCAAGTATTATTTTGCATACGCACACATGCTTTACTCAGGTAAAACAAAGCCAACATTCCTCTGTACAGTATTATTACATTATGTAGGTCATCAGTATATAAGTTCACCCAGCGACTAGCAGAATTCTCTGAGGAGTGATTCTGTAATTGGATCTTGAAAGCTACATTTGAACTGATGCACTGTTTTGATAGTGGGAACATTCGAAAGGAAAGCAGGTGTTCTCTTCATGTTAACTCCTTCCTTACTCACCAATGTCCCTATGGCCGCAACAGTCGAAGAGATTCATGTGATTGTATTTCCACAGTTGACTTTTCACCACAAATTTCTGTACCCTACATGAAGGATCTACTTCTGTCTTATGTAGTTATTGTAAGTTTCATATTTGAGAGTGAAATCTTTAATCAGGTTTATTATGTGGCTATTCGAAGTCGTCTGCTCACTGGTTCAGTGGGCATATATATACCGCGTTTTGAGAACCTACCTAATGATCTAAGTGAAGAAGCTCCTTTTCATAGATAGTTACAAGGTCAAATTTTCTCTTTTTGTGGTTAAATGCAATCTTGATCAATAGACACTAGTTATTTGGTCAAAATTATAAAAGGTGACCAGTATGCGTAGTTCGTGAAATTCCCATTCCTTAATTCTCTCTTGGAAGATTCCTTGTTGTTTGGTTCTCTATTACAAAAAGCAGTCATAATGGTGATAAGAAGTAGGGAAATTGCGTTAGAATGCAAAGACTGTAATAGGTGAAGTGAACCAAAACCTTGAACAGAAAAATTGCTTTATATCAAAGAATGAAGTGGGTTGCTAAGAGATCTACTAACTAATTTGGTAGGTAAATAAAAGGGGTTTTATAATCTGACGGGGATCAAAAAACTTTATGGGTAAAACTGTTTATTAACTTTTCTTTGGTCAAATGAGAGATAGGTTATGTAAAAGATTCTTCTACACAGAATGGTGTTTTTATTCATTAAAATTCTCTAAACTTCCTTTATGTCCGAATACTATTGGAAAGATTTGATTGTATGGGACTGACATACCTAAATGGATTCGCCTTATCTATAAAGGTAAATGTTCAAAAATATGGTTCTTAAGTTGCCTAGCGATAAGCTCCTAGAAGCAGTTTAACTTGTAAATAGACATAGAAACGGTAAAACTTGGTAAAATAAATACTTGAAGAGTGCAAAACGCCTCTTAGTGGCTCCACATGGTCTTTTATGTACAAATTTGTTGGTAGCTACATATCCACTGAATTCCAGTTTCATGTGTATAGCAGTTTCTTCTGAAGGCTAAACGACTCAAATATTCTCCCTCTCTCGCCTTTTTATAAACCTGTTGAGGAAGCCAATTTCAACCAGTGAGCTGTGGACAGATGTTTATTATAACTGATTATATATTAAATCCTATTTGTAAGCCATCAGTTGGGTCTCTTTTATATGGAACATGTACGGAATATGTGATTACGAATGTATAGATGTGATATTTCTATACATAATTCCACTGAGTGAACAATTTTCTTTTCTGCTCAATAAAATATTCAGAAAACCAAGTTTATTCGCATAATCTTCGTCACAAGTGACATAAAGTGAAGGGTGTACATGATTGTGGAGCTGTGGCTCATTAGTTTAGGGAGTTGACTTTCGACCAATAGATGACGGGTTTGAACTTCGCTCATTTACCAGGGTTGAAGCAGACATGCGGTAAGTATCATTAGCCGTCAGGCCAATTACCTACTACATTAATGTGCACAGTGTTTGCTGAGTGCATTTCGATTTTGAAACTGGTCATGAATAATGAATATGCCATCAGTATAACGGTAAAATATACCTGTTTCACTCCACTGTTGACAGCTTCCAACTTTCCGTTTTCAAGTTTGGCGAGAAGGAAGTTGGCTAAAATCGGGTTAAGTGGTGTGCACGTGGCGAACATCAACTTATGTACAATGTGTGTTATCGAAGATAATATGTACACTCACAGTGTATCTGTGCGATGATTTCTTAAGGATAGACTTTATGCAGACAAACTAGAGCGGGTTCTGGCGAAAAGTTGTATTGTTCGCCTACCTTTATGTGGCAGCTTTAATTAATGAAGTTTCATTTGTATGACGCCCAGTTGTAGTTTGTTTTCCCCTGAATTTAAACAGTAGATTTATGGACTACTGTTGTATTTGGCTTCGTGAAAGTAAACTACTAGTCTCAATAGTTGGTAATATTTTCGCCACTGCTTGATTCATTATCTGTGTCAATTGGCATGATGGGACCGCTTGTTTCTAGTTACAGTAGTTCAAAGTGATTTTAAATGGAGCTAACTAGCTGATTATCCTTCAAGACAATTAAAATGACTTGTGGTGTAAGCAGATGTTATTCATCGGAGGAGAATTATTATCTCACACACCCTGTCTACATCAAACTGTCGGTGGATGCATTCTAACCAGTGGTTGTACATGAAGTATCTTAAAATTTTTCTGCTCATGTTTTGAGTGTTCCCCTCCACTTGAATATGACTCACTAACTTAGGATAGTGACTGTCAACCGGTGGGTCATTAGTCCGAACTTCACTTCGGGTATTTCAATTTAGGCCTTCAGACAATATCATGAGGTTTTATACTATATGAATCATAGCTAAATGCTCATATCTTGTTCGGGGTATGTATGTCAAACTATGAGTTGTTAGTGGTCGATAAAGTTACACATAAAAATCAATAAATTGGTTCCTTATCGCATCCTTTTAAATTTTACTTATATTCAGGATCGAAATTCCGCTCGTACACTACATGCACAATACAAATTGCCATTTTTCGAAGTTTACCTAGCAACTCCATTGGAAGTATGCGAAAAACGTGATGCGAAAGGACTTTATAAACTAGCTCGAGCTGGTGAAATCAAAAATTTCACTGGTGTATCTGCAGTCTATGAAAATCCAACTAATCCTGATTTAATACTAAACACTGACACGTACTCAGTTCAGGAGTGCGTATCAAAATGTGTTGAAATGCTGACCGAAGCTGTAAGTGATTTAAATTCACTGTTTTTCTTCATTTTAATGCTGTAACAGAAAAACGTTCTCTTTATTTTCTCATTCTTATTATTGTACAGTGACAGAAGTAGGACACTGTGGACCATTGAACCCCGACCCAGTGTCTGAGTGGTTAACACGTTCGCCGTGCAACCTTAAAGTCCTGGATTTAATCACTTGCCAGGTCGTGGGTGCGTACTGCTGAGGAGTCCCATACTAGAACGAAAACAGCTGCCGTCCAGTGCTCCTAGGTTTCCACTGGGTCTGTTCGTGATAAATGCTACTTTAAGAATAGTATATATCAGAAAGGATAAACGGCTATCATTTTGTGTATCTTGCAAATATCAAAGGTGACTTTAGATGCTAACATTTGCTGTTTACTGCTTTGGATAGTGATGTAACAAATCCCTGAGGTGGGTGTCTATTTTTGTAGGTTCGATTGTATAAACGTTAGTGATCGTGTACAACACAATGCTTGCTCAACTGGATGTTGTTCTCATTTAGCTAATTCACGGTATTCTGTTTACTGAGATTATGTTAGTGAATAAATGTAGTGGTTTGACGAATTAAAAATACACGACAAAACTATGATTGCACGCGACTTGTCTACTGAATGGTGGATTTTCTAGGATGAAGTATGGATAATGATAATAATAACTTTATGTATTAAGTATAGAATTCTCAGCATATTATGTTGTAACAAATCGACTTGTTCAACCTCTTTAATTAGAATAATAAGGGTAGTAAAATAGGCAATAATTTAAACAACAATACAGAAATGATAGCAAAAGAAACAGCACTTCATATAATACTGCGAAATGGTCATTTCATTTCCTGACTTCTTTTTCTTCATATGAGATGCATGCGAAGTAAAGGACAAGTGTACCACACTGCTGTCCGTCCTGTCCTGTTAATACAGCAGTGATCTCACTGCCTAGTGAAAGCAGAAGAATATGAAGAGACTACAGGTGTTTTAGTAGCGTTGCTCACGTATAGCGGAATCACTGTGTGAGCAATGTTGAGACCAGGCGAAAGGTATTAGGCAAGACAGGCAAGTCGATTGGTGAAGTTGTGAACCTTAGTTGACGGAGATGGTTTGGACATGTCCTGCGCATACTGAATCACCACCTACCTTGACGTGCCATCCTATGAGAAGTTGGACTAGGCTGAAATAGGGTTGAGGGTGGCCAGTCGAAAACCTGGCACCAGTTGATTAAGTCATTGACTATTGGTGTTAGCCGTGTGGGGAAATGTAGGCCATCTGGCTAACTTAGGTCCCCGAGAAGATAAGAATTAGTGATTGACAATGATTGAAAATCGGAATCAGTGGGGCTGATGTATTCACTCCCTGACATCTTTTAAAGCTTGAATATTTGCGCTAACCATCATCTTCAAATTGTTTGTCCTCTTACACAATTCTTTCTACTTTAATATCACTCTTTTTCTATCCACTTGTTCTTTGTATACTAATGTGAAGTGTGAAAACTTGAAGCTATATACTTGTTTGCGATTTTCTACGTTGGTTTTATCACTGTCGATAATCAACTTATAACTGTGACCTTAATATATAGGACGATATTTTTGTTTTGCAAGACATTAGTCTAGAGGTAGTGTCGATCAAAGGAAGAAGTATAATGAAAAGAGGCATTAACAAAATGCTAGTTGCATTTGTCTATGGTATTATGATATTAGACAGTGGCCACCTTTAAGCTACTTTTTCTGTGTCGATGAGCAAATTGATTTGGATCACTAAAAGCTTTGTAATAAAGGTTGAAGTACAAGTAGTTGTAGTAGTATTACTTTCTTCACTGTTTTCAAAATGAATAAGTTAATACAATGTTTCTAAGATCAATATCTCCTTCGGAAAATAATGGCTTAAGCTACTGAACTCAAAAAGTGCTACATTCAGGGTATATATAAAATACTTTGGAATATTTGAAAAAACCATAAAACATCTTTCGCATAAAAATGTGTAACGCAGCCTTCCATTTGTCTATGAATATTGGATGAGAGAACATCACTGAACTGACACACAGACGGACAGATGGAATCAGCGTAGAAACGTGCACATAAGTGCTTCGGCTCAGATTGTCACACTTCAAAGTAGCGTAGAAAGAACAGGTGGATAGAAGAAGAGTGATATCACAGTAGACGAAGATGTGCGTGAGAATAAGCAGTTTAAAGATAAAGGTTCACTCAAATATCCAAGCTTTAGAAGGCGTCAAATAGTGAATATATCTGCACCATTGTGACTGACTTCCAGCTAGTTAGTCTATATCTCCTCAAATGGTTCAGTCAAACAGTAAGGAACTTCGCCAACTGATACATAACTGGTTTAAAGTGCAGAAGTCTACACAGACTTCATCAATTAGTTGTCTGTTTTATTATGTTCATATATTTTGCAGTTTTATATTTTGTTTGTGCTTTGAAGTTTCTTTAGCGGTTAGATTTGTTTTACGGGGTAGGGTTGCTAGCCCTATGCCCAACCTTCCCTCTTTACCCGGGCTTAGGACCGGCTAGTAACTAGTAAACTAGTTAACCAGGCGGGACAGACGAGGACGTCAAAGTCAGAATCGGAAAAGCAAGGCAGGCGTTCATTAGCCTGAAACCAGTGTGGAGATCTTCTGCACTCAGCATGCGGAACAAGATACGGATTTTCAACACCAACGTCAAGTCAGTGCTCTTGTATGGTTCAGAGACTTGGCGCGTCACGAAAGGCATTTCCAATAAACTACAGACATTCATCAACAACTGCCTACGCTGACTCGCTACTGAAGATCAGATCTTAAGGCCAGAAAGAATAAGCAACAAGGAACTCTGGCTCGGAACGAACCAACCAAGAACCTATCACGCAACAAATATGCAGGAAGAAGTGGAGATGGATTGGCCATGCACTGAGAAGACCGACTGGGGACATCACGCGTCAGGCCCTCGAGTGGAATCCCCATGGTAAGCGACGAGTTGGACGTCCGAGGGTGACATGGAGGAGGTCGTGTGAGGAGGAAATGAGAGCTTCTGGGCTGTCGTGGGACCAGGTTCAAAAGATCTCAGAGAACAGAGGTCACTGGAGGCGTGCTACTGAAGCCCTATGTTCCACTAGGAACCCAAGGGACTAATAATAATAATAATAATTTTGCAGTTTACCAAGTGGTTAAGTCTTCTAACTCTAAGATTTTCGTTTATCCTTGATAACTTTTCGTTCTTTCTTTTTCATCACCTTGTATGTCAAGACAAGACTCATATATTGGTCTAACGTTATTAATACGATTTGTTCAAAGTTAATATGTACCGAACCAGGTATAGACTAGTATCTCCACGAGTTATGGATCCGGTAAGATTCTTGTGACTAAAGGACATATGAAAGCTACTGTCATAAGAATTGAACTTTCTACAAACTATTGACGAAAAACTACCTAGAATAGGAGTAGCGAATTTCGTTAACTTCTCCAGCAGAAATAGGCTGTAACTATATCTTAGTGTGAAATAAAAGTTCGTTGTATACATGAAACTGTGTTCACGTATATGTCTAAGAGTGTAGAACTGTGGCTTATTGATTTAAGGAGATGGCTTTCAACTAGTGGATCACGGGTTCATACCCCGCGCCGCCTACTGAGGTTTAGTCAGTCATGTAATATCACTAGCCCTCACACAATAGGTGTGGCTTATTGCCTACTGCACGAATATGTACAAGGTTGCTGAGCGCATTTCGATTCAGCTCATTTCGATACATCTAAGGTGACAGTATACAGCCATTTAATTTATATTTTTAAACTGCAGGAATTGAAAGATTCATGATATGAAGTAGACTACTAGTTTTCATCAAAGGCGTAAAGTTATTTATCCGCCACATTTCAAGTTGTTTTGCATCATGGGTCGATATCAGACAGAAAACGACTCAGTGTCTGCCAGGACTGGAGGGTTGTTTCTTCCTTTTTCGAGAACTCTCGTCAGCGCGCACCCACGATTCCGACCAGGAATGTAACCTGAAACTGTCAGGTCTCATGATGACCAAGTTATGACTCAGCTTCTGATATTAAATCCAACTTCTGTCGATTGATGATGTAGTGCAACTATCATCCGATGCTATCGGTGAATATGTTTTCTTACACCTAACTGACTAGGTTGACGTATATTATGACTTCTCACTAGAACTTTAGGAGATTCATTTCGAGCGTAGTCTCTGGCGAGCAGTGGATTCTAATTCAATTTTGGGTGTTTTTCGAGAATTGATTTCATACGGTTTTCGTCATGAACCGACATCACTTAGAGAACTGTTAAATACCTAGAAGCTGTTTGATGTCATTCTGTGGTGTAAACTTGAAATCAATTGATTACTCATAAACAGTTCATCATAGTGAGTTGTTCTTTAAGCTGAGGTTTTTGGTTGTTAAACGTTTCGGTGTCATCATAAATATCTTCATTCGTAGTGTGCTACAGTCAGATTAAGGGAACCTTCATCAATTCATTCGGGCAAATGGGACCAACTGGTTACAACGCAGCGACCTCGATGTACTGCAACCAAACAAAATAAATCAATGATTCACAACCAGTCAGGTTCGGCACACACTCACACACCAAGTGCCAATCAGGTTGTAGTTAGCCAAAATGATGCGCTGTAAATAACTATGTATAACCAATGGTTTCACTTCGTTGTGAAACTCTGGTGCACTGGTGACGATGTTTAGCATGAAATCAAGACGTTTACCAACTAAGTCCCTAGCTCTAAAAACAACAACAAGCATCATTCACCATGATCAGGAGAAACCTAAAGGAAGTAGTCTCTTTCACCTACCTAGGCAGCATCGTTTCAACTACAGGCGGCGGCGGCACAGATAAGGACGTCAAAGCCAGGATCGGAAAGACAGCGAGTCAGGCCTTCATTGACCTGAAATCATTGTGGAGATTCACTGCACTGCACTCAGCATAGAGCGTGAACAAGATCCAGATTTTCAACACCAACGTCAAGTCAGTTCTTCTGTATGGTTCAGAGACCTGGCGCGTTACAAAAAGCAATTCCAAAAAGCTGCAGACATACATCAACAACTGCCGCCTTCACTCTCTCGATACTGAAGATCAGATCAGATGGCCAGAAAGAATAAGCAACGAAGTACTTTGGTCTTGCAACGAACCAACCAAGAACCTATCGTTCAACAGATATGCAGAAGAAAGTGGAGATGGATTGGATTAAGCATACACTGAAAAGACCGTTTGGGGACATTAGGCGCCAGGCCAGGCCGTCGAGGGGAACTGAAATGGAAAACGACGAGTTGGACGTCCGAGGCGATGGTGACATGGAGGAGATGGTTTGAGGAAGAAATGAAAGCTTGTGGGCAGTCGTGGAACCGGGTTCAAAAGACTGCAGAGAAAAGAGTGAAATGGCGAGGTGCAACTGAAGCCCTATGTTCCACTCGGAACCCAAGGGACAAATAATAATAAAAACAACTCACTCTGAAAAAGCCAGAACATTTAACTATTGCATTGTGCATGCAGCTGCTAAGCGATTACTTTTCATGTTTTCCATCTACTGAGAACCACTAATACTAGGCGTTGGCGCTGCCTAATCATTTCAGTTTCTAAAGGAGTTCATTATAGAACTTGCATCATTTATTCTTGATATTTCTGGCTATAGACTGTGAATTTGTCAATCAGTGGCTTCAACTAGGTCATTACTCTCCATTCACAAGCAATCATGACATTATCCAATTGTGATATGAATGTTGTGGAGTGAATGTCATCAATCACAACTTGGCCTGTTCTCTATTTCATTGGTTTACATCATATTTTCGGGAAATTATCTTTGAAGTAAATCAAATGTAGTTTAAGGTTTATGGGGATTTTATTGATCATAGACCGACATAAGTTTCAGAACCAGTGGAAACCTGGAAGCGCTGGACGGTAATTGTTTCGTTCTCGTATGGGACTCCTCAGCAGTAGGCACCCACAACCCGGCTAGTGATCAAGCTCAGGATCTTAATGTTACGCAGTGAACGCGTTTACCATTCAGACACTGGATTGGAGTTTAATGGTTCACGGTGCTTTACTTCTCTCGATTTGCGATACAACGTGACTATCCATCAAAATATTTAGCTAGTATTCAGTTCACTGCCGAATAGTTGGTGTGTTATTCATCTGATAGTTTTACAAAGTTATGTTCTTCATTAATATGTGGATACATTTTTGCAAACTGGATGAATTCCAGAAAATGTTGACTGTTGTTAGGTTTCTATGCGGCGTCTGCTTTACTTCACGAAAATAGTTGAAAGTGAAGATCTCTCAGGAGTGTCAAAATAGATTACAGAGTTTATTCTATACTCTCAGTGCTTTTCAACTTTATATCAGTTTATAGAAATACTGTTCAAACAAAAGTTGATTGTTCATACCTTATATAGAACTTACAAATATGGGTAGGATATCGATTGTTAATAATACGCAGTGTCTACCAGTGGGATCTAGGACGCACATTTCGTCCTAATTGGGACACATCAGCTGGATGTTCTTGCCTCCCAGTAAGTGATATCGTTGTTCAAGTCTCAATGAGAACAATATCCAGATGAAGAGCCCAAAATAAGACGGAACACGCTAGCTACTACGAATCATTATCATTAAAACCGAAAATACCGCTGACACCAAGGCATCGAAACAGGAATAGGACCACTCCGGTCCAATCAACGAAGGAGGTTTACAAGTTGTGGCATCAAGATATCGATTGATTATCTAGTTCTTAGTCTGTTTTTTAGTGTATATTCTAAGCAATAAACCGGTTTGCTGAATGTATAACTTTAAATATTTCTTTACACCAAAAATGTTTCCTCTACCTTTATCTTCACTGTTTTTAGGAAATAATACCTAATTACAGTGAAGTGAATCCATTCGGTGGTCCAATGCCTAAAGAGTTGTTTGTGAATAATGCTGATGAAGTCAAGAAACTGAGAGATGAATGTCGTAGCCTGCCTCAAATCGATATCACAGAATTAGATTTACAATGGATACAGACGCTAGCTGAAGGTTGGGCTACCCCATTGAAGGGTTTCATGCGTGAAGATGAATACTTACAAGTTCTTTATTTTGGTCAATTACAGAAGACAGAAGGTAGGTTTATGTATTCTACTGTAGGATGAATACAGTTATTGTAATGCTTCTATTGTGCTGCTGTTTCTCCTTTTTATCAGAAGAGCATTTCGAGGTTGGTCTCTACTAGTATAGAGGAAGGAATAATAGTAGTCGATCTACAAGTTTAGCGTACCCTTCAAAATTGGGGCAAGCGTATGTTGCTTATCGGTGCCTTCTATCTGAACTCAAGCAGCCATTTCAGGGTTTATGAAGAGTTTTCACGTGAGTTGACAAAAACTAGTGGTGTCTAGTGGGGATGCCCAGTGTCACCGTTCCTCTTTAACTTTGTCATAAACGTACTAATGAACGTAACCTTAGGTACATCTGACTTCTTATGGATTGACTTACTCCCTGCAGGTCATCTTGTTGACTTGGAATATGCAGACTATATTGTCCTAATAGGTGAAGATGCTGACGAAATGCGGGGTTTTCTGAACGCCTTGAATAGAAATCTGTGTATGTTTGGCATGCGTTTCGCTGGCACCTGTCAAATGTAAGATGATGCTCGAGGACTGGTTTGTTACCACTCCTATTGTAAAGATATGAAGTGAAGTGGTGGGATGTGTCGGCCGAACACCCCAAACAGGATGGTTGCCGACGAAATCTCAGCTTCGATACATAAAACCTGTTTAGGATTTACCAACTTGCATCATCTGCATGCTAACTGGGGAGATACCGACTGTCTATCAAGGGACGAGTATACTGCCTCTCAGTTCGTTCTGTCCTGTTAAACGGCTGTGAGACATGGCTGTTAAAAGTAGGAGACATGAAAGAGTTATAGTTTCTTGACCGTGGCTGTTTTCATAGCATTACTCGCGTTTGATACAGTCACCATGTGAGCAGTGTCAGGCTAATGGTACTAGGCAAGACAGGCAAGTCGATTGACGATGTTGTGAACGTTATTCGACTGAGATGGCTCGGGTATGTACTGAGCATGCCGAGCCACTGCTTACCTCGACATGCCGTGCTAGGAGAAGTTGGATTAGGGTTGAGGGTGGCTAGACAAAGATGTGGCAGGAATGAATGAAGTTCCTGACTGGTAGCTTGAGCCGTGTGGGGGAGATGTAGGTAGAATGCCTATTTGAGGCCCCTGAGATGAAAAGAATCAGTGTTGTGGACTCTTGGTGCGATGGCTAGAAATCGGTCACAATGGCACAGATGCATTCACTCCTTGACATTTTCTAAAGTTTGAATATTCACACTAACCTTTAGTCTGCAGATTGTTTATTCTCTTGCACAACTTTGTCTACTTTTATGTCACTTTTTCTATCCACGTTCTTTTTGTGTACTACCGTAATATTGTGGCAGGTTGAACGGATGCGATTGTTTGCAAGGTTCTATGTTGATTTCATCTGTGTATCCATACTTTGGTCATTATGACAGTGGGATTTCCCATATATTCAAAATAGACGGTTCACTCATGCCTATTACTGGATGCATTTGGTATTGAATCGTTGAAGAAAAAAAACTCAATAATCACTCCTTCTTTCCACCAAACTACTTCAGTATTTATGATTATATGTGTATGTTCGTTGGCACATGCATAACAAGAGAAGTGCTCATTTCTTATTATCTATTGACATGCATGACTCTAACTGGTTTCACCTACGTATCTAACACCAAAATCTTTGTATAATATTTAATAGAATAAATTATTTTGTTTCAATGGCTAAATATGATATTTAAGCCGATAAACTTTGTCCCTTAGTGAATTTCTAGGTTTAAATGCTGCTTGATTTTGAGGCTCTTTATGAAAATCATACATATAGTTGCTGATGTGCCTTCTTTATGTGGCAATACTATAGAGACCCTGAAGTCTTCATTAGTTATGTTGAAATCGTTGTCCAGAATATTGTTTCTCCTTTTATTATGCATTCATGTGAATTAATGTTGGATCGTGACTAGCAATGGAATCCAGGATGCGCATTTCGTCCTATTTGGGAGCCCATATGCCAGTAGAGATCGATCAATTCGGTCCAATCAACGACCGTTCATGTGAATTTTTGAATTAATTTTAGTGAATAGTTATTGAGTATTAACGATTCTCGAATACTGAAACTTCGACGAACAGTTTTGTAGGTGCATTCCAAACTCATATAATTAACCTTTCTAAGGTAGTATTGAGCAGGGACTGACATTAGTTGGATAACCATTGGAACAAACAAATGAATGGCTTCTCTCCACTTATCTCCTGAAGTATAAACATATTCAACAAGGCATATTAGAAAATTAGTAAGGTATAGCAAAATTTAGGTGATGTGGACGTATCGAAAAAGTTGAGTGGAAACAGGAAAACTTATTTTCATGAAAGGTAGTTTCCATAACACAGACTAATGTATTTACAGCGATTGGTCACTGGAGAGCAACCAATCTCATGTTTTCAAGTCCTAAGTGCAGACCAAATTCTATTGATCACTTTGTAATGTAATCATCAAGCTAGAAAGCTCATCGCAGTGCACTTCGATGGATGTTGGTTAGTTGAGGCAGTCGACAGTAAGCCCTGGACTTAGGTCTCATGCATTTTGTCACTCTTCGAGGGGGCTGATATCCCCTGTGAGATTCGAATCCACGTCACTCAATGCTGCAGTCGCTGACGTTACCACTGAGATATTCGGGCCGCAGCTGATCTCCTGTACGACTGGATTACATACGTCGACTGGTCACCGGAGAGCAGCCAACTAATGTATTAATTAGAGAGATCTTGACATTCTGGGAGCGCTGGAGATCTGTTTCATTCGAGTTTGAGAATTTCCAGTAGTGCACAGTGACAAGTCTGCTAACTGCAGAGAACAGATATTGGTATGATACTCGTAATTCCCCGTTGCTATACAAGCCCGAATTACTCTACCTCTACTGTTGGCAGGTGGGCTCCTTTGTGGATGCCTCGATCCTATCGAATATTCATGATTTTACGTTGACCTTGGTGACTACCTGAGGGATCCAGGCTGCGCATTTCCTCCTACTTGGGACATCGTCAGATGGATGTACCTGCACCCCTGTGAGTGATGTTGTTTCCACTGAAGCTGGAACTCAGTGCCCATCGCTTCAAACACCAGAGCGTTATCCACTAAGCCACTGGGGCATGATATTCCCGGATAGGACGCAACGCGCGTCCTCGATTCCTCTGCTAGTCACCAAGATCAACATAACCTGTCGAGAACAGAGTTGTCAAATCTGTTTTGGCTACCACATTACTATTCAGTTATTGGATTGAATACCAATGTTTTACAGTTTCCTTTTTGAAATGAAAACCAGCTTGAAGTTGGTCAGTGCACACAAACCATCACTTGAATGTGACGTCATTGTGAGTAGAAATTAGTAGTCGAATGATGCTTTTAGCAACATTTATAAGACCATCTAGTTGATAAATTGTAGAATGAATAATGCCAGTAGCAAATCTGTACATTGAATTAAGCAAGTTTCGAAGAAACTTAGGACTGGTATGAAGACAAAAATGACATAATAATATAGTGGGTGATGATTGAAGGTGAGATGAAAATCTGGACCGCGGCCGGATTCAAACCAGCGGCAACCCGGCGGTCGCTGGTTCGAATCCGGCTGCGGTCCACATTTTCATCCCACCTTCAGTCATCACCAAGTATAAATACAAGTCTGCCAAACTACGGCTATCTCAGATAGTCAAATGATAATAATAATGATATCGAAAAAAAATTACCTCGTAAAGTTATAAAACAACAGCGAAGTGCTTTCCGGGTTAAATGCAACGTTATCACCGTTTCCTTTCATACAGAAAAGGTATGGATCTGCAGGCTGAATTTGTGTAATCCTAACGACTGAGTGTATTGTTCAAATCACTTGACATTAAAACAAGCGTTGGAGTATGTGTATGCGTGCGTTTGTTTGTGTCTGTTTTCTTGACGGAAAGTGACTCAACTCAAAAATGGCATTCCATATTAGATTCATTTATTTGATTGATATATCACACAGTGTTTGATCACGTTTCAAGCACAACTTATCATTGCTCATAATCTTATCAGTGATGAATACTAATTTGAAATCAATAAATCCCAACAAACCCCAAAATTGAGTTAATCTATTGCTCGTTGGTAACTAGCTTCGAGAGGGTATTCTTGAGGAGTCGTTCCTGGTTGGGTAAACCTGGGGGACGTGAGAACTCAATGATGACATTGGGTGATGGTCACGCTATGTCGTGATCTGGCAGAAGTTGGAAATATAGACCATTTCCGAGGCGAGACAGGTGTTCATTTATCCCAGGTTTCCAATGTTCCTCCAACTGATGTCAGTTCATGATGAGTACTACCTTTAAAGGAGTAAAGTCCCCCATAAATCTCAAACTGTATTACTGCATATTGCTTATTAGTGACATGCTTCGAGATAGATATCCTGAAGTTCTAGTTAGAAGTCAGTTGAAAGTGAAGAGGATGTCAATTGAAAACCTTTGATGATGATCATGTTATATTCCAAACTGATAGAAGTAGGAAACTGTGGACTGTTAAACTCTGATGCAGGGGATGAATGCCTTGTACGTTCGCCGTGAAACCTGAAGGTTCCCTTACGGGGAAGTGAGTGTGTGCTGATGAGGATTCCTACACAAGGACCAAACAGCTGTTCAGTACTCCCAGATCTTCAATAGTTACCCAACTAATGTCAGTCAGTGATGAATATTTCCTTGAAATAACCTGATATTAGCCAATTTTACGTCGAAGACATATTTAAAATCGATGCGAAATTATAACTTGATTTGGTTTGGTATAAGTTTGTGGATGATAGTGTGACTTATGCCTATTGGTGCTATTGTGCTGACTGTAAACTGTAGTTGTCGCTTCATTAATAATCAGGCATGTAGTAAATGTATGCAGCATAGGAAGGAGAATTCATGGTGAAGTTCAAGGTTGTACTGTGTCAGGTGAGTGATTAATACAAGGAGTGATATGAATTGACCAAAAAATAGAACTGGATTACATATTTCATCATTAAATGGCCAGTGTGTGAAGCGGTTGAGTTATTATGTGATAAAAAGAGTCTTAATACTGTGAATGATAACCCTACTGATCCAAGCAGAATTCTAGCCGGATTTGCAAGGTTTATTTCAATAAGAGGGGAGAAAATTACGGAAGAAAATTTAGTCAAACTTATGTTTCGAAAAGAAGAGACGGGACGAGAGAAGGATAGTTGAAAGCAACAAATGAGGACTAGGGAATGGTTTTTAGTCGATGGAAGGTCAAACGAGGTGAGTGGTCTTTGAACGTATCCGCTTCGATTACAGATTTCAGGTTTAGTTGATCGTACAGCCACAGCTTCTGCTACATAATGAATGAGTAAACGAGTGGCAGGTGGGAGTCTTCGGATCGCCATGTATGTTAGTAAAGCTGCGCCAGCCATCTATTCGGTGTCTTGTGTCTACCAGATATGCTTACACAGAACTTTTAATGGAGTTGGCCTGACCCTTTGTAAGCCAATTCCCACTATCATCCAAAAACTTTGAGTGATCTAGTTGTAATTATAGTTTAATATCCGTTGTAAAAAGGCATTCATCATATGTTTGGCTATTACTATGTTAACAAATTTGATTTTATGCCAGCAGAACCTGATGAGAAGTTACTGGAAAGAGTATTTTTTAATATGTGAACTGAAAATCTTTGAATGCTTAGAATCGATCAGAGTTAAGTAACCGACTACTTTTCTACTGCGACTTCATTAAGGTCATAAATATGGATTTAGTGGTATGGTTTTTACGGAATCAGGACAGGTGTTATCTTCTGATACAGGCAGATAGACACCGTCAATATACAGAACCTCGCATTACTGCGTGACGGTTCAAGCTGTCACGTCCCATGTCACCGAATCAAGCAACAATCCACTAAGATGAACGATGAAGAAATAAAAGATAAAGCAGTCAAAAGTGATAGTCATCAAGAGAGGGTAAAACGAAATGGGAATACTGAAATTCGGTATGACGATTAGGATGAAGATGATGTATAGATATATCTCCACTATTGAGATCGATTCTGAGTCATATATCGCCCATAATCTTCAACCACAGAGTCTACATTTCCCTACATGGACTGACACCGCGTTTTAGTCTGTCCGCCTCTAATTCTTTTCTAGCCTGAACCTGTTAGGTAGTGGTTAGACGAAAAGCAGTTACCATAATAGTATAAGCTACTAAGCCATGCTATGCGTCTGAAGGCGAATTGTACTGCTAGCTGGCTGGCGTTTGATGGTAGTAAGGTGTTTTCCTTTGATATCCAGCAGTACTACGCTGATTCTCCCTTCTTGGTAGGAAGGAGGCGTTAAAAAATATCACCCAAAATAGCACATTCTAACTGTCCCATGGCGTACCGATGCCGGCTGCATGAGTTCATAATAGGAGTTAAAACTGGCAAATAAAAATCTCAAACTTGCAAAAAGACCGTATGTGATCGACCTCAAGCAGATGTCCTTTGGCCTCTGCCATCACGCACTAACCCTTCTCTTTCAGGAACCTCAAGAAGAACTAACCTTCCACGGTTTGAGCATCTGGAAAGTGTCAATCGTCCTCTCAGCCCTGTCACCACTCAAGTTCGCTCAGATCGCTGTCCGCCTTCCAAATCCTCATCTTCTAATCTTCCTTCACGTTTCACGGTCAGTAATCCAACACTGTCCTTGATTTCTTCCAGTTCTGCAGCTCTCGAAAACAGTCTGAGTTTAAAGAACAGCACCCTTGTTTCCTGAAACTGCGCTCTAAATTGCACATTGGAGCTATCAGTTTCCAGACCCTCCGTCATGTCGCCCAACAAGCTTCACTAGCCAAAACGCTAGCAACTAAGGCCATATATATGCAGTGTTTGTGAGACAGGCATGCAAAACTCAAGTGTTGTTATTCACCTAGCCTCTCCTGGTCATTATGGCGAAACCGCGAAATTCACCCTTCGAGTTTCTGGAAATTCGATAGCTAGTTTTCGCGGTCTTGCACGTGTAGGTATAACATTGGCGTCCATTGACGCAGATAGACCACATTACGAATGCAACTCAAACGTCTACTCAATGACCAAGAATAGTGGTGGGGAGCGAAGGCTAAGGATACGGAAAAGGTTACGGCGATAGGTAACAGTAGACAGTTAATCAAACTTATCGAGGTAACTAGAGCGAAACGGTCAATGGTTAGTGAAATGATAGGTGAGAAGAGTAGGTCTTCGATTCACTACTAGAGGAGACGACTGGTACGATGTGCAGAATACTTCAATGAACAGTTTGATTGTCCTCTAGGTCCTATTGCGTTTCCCACTATCCAGTTGGAGTCTGAATAGAAGTTCGAGATAGGCCCCACAACACTTTTAGAATTCTAGAAAGCTGAAGGTTACCTGAAATGAGGAAGAGCAGCTGGGCCAGATGGATCACTACCAGGGGCGTTTAGGGACGTTGGTCAAAGATTTGTAGTCAAGCTAACTGAAGTGTTAACTAGTGTGTGGGAGTCAGATTTGATCTTCTCTGACTGGTCTCAATCACTGATTGTCCCAGTCTTCAAGAAGTCCTCCTTCAATAACCACAGAGAAATCAGCCTGATAAATATAGTGTCTAAGATTCTAGATTCTATGATAACCAGGTGTCTGAGTTCAGCTCGGGAGCAGCAAGCCCGAGTAAACTAGGCAGACTTGAGACCTCGACACTGGTGTTTCAACCAGATATCCACATTGCCAGGTTATGGAACACAGGCACACTTATCGACGCCCGACACTAGCTGTATTTTTCGTCCTGAAGGCGGCGTTTGATTCCGTCGGTCAAAGGATCTTATGGCAATGTCTAACACTGGAAGAGGTGCTCAGTAAGTATATCACTCTGTTGTTGACTTTACTTGAACGCACATGGGCGTGTTAGAATCTATGGTGAGTTTTCAGTTGATCTGTGTACATCGAGTGGTGTCCGTGAAGAATGTCTACTCTCTCCATTCCTGTTCAGTTTTGAAGTCTCTCATCTAGCATGACAGGGATTGATCGAGTTATAGGAAAGTGCTTGTCAGATTTAAAATAGGCAGATGACATAGTGCTGTTAGGTTAAGACGCTGGCAAGATGCAGATTATTCTGGACAGAACTTTGGGATGAATTTCTCGTCACCCAAATTCTAGTTGTTGCTCCAAGACTGACCTTCAGCGGTGCACTGGCTAACAATAGAGAGTGAAGTGACTGACGCTTCACTCATCTTGGAGGTTGGATCACCTCTAATGAGTCAGTGGTCAATGAAATTTCTGGATGTATACAAAAGGCTCGACGGTGTTTCGCCAACTTATGCCACTTGTCACGCTGCCACGATATCCGATTGTCGATTAAGAGTCAAGTGTACTGCACTGCAGTTCACTCTGTTCTACTGTATGGTTATGAGACGACACTAAAGGAAGGCGACATAAGAACGCTTGAGGTGTTGGACCACCCGTTGCCTTCGTACAATAGGCCGTGTGTCAAGATGTCATAACGTAGAAGTCAGGCTAAGAGTTTTTGGGAGTAGAGGGAAGTCAGTTAATAAAGTCATGAGCCTTCATTGACTCAGATGACTGGGACATGTGTTACACATACCTCGGCTGAAGTATGTTCAGATTGAAACAAGGCTCAGAATGGCCAGTTTAAAACATATCATCAATGCATGAAGTCCTTGACTATTGGTTCGAGCTATGTTGGGAGATGCAGACTAGCCGGTTAGGGTCCACGTGATAACAAAAGCCACGGGTTGTAGACTCTAGGTGATATAGTTCTGAATTGATGTTCGTGGGGGTAGATGTATCCACACTTTATCTTCATCTTGAACGCTATACTGAATTCATTATTTTCTCATTCCTCCTTCCTCTCTTTTACTGCATTATACTTCCTTTGGCCGATTCTCCTTTCTTTTTTCATCTTCCATCTCACTACTTTGTTACTTGTTGTTCTGATATGAAGTGTGGCAAGTCGGATGGTTACACAGTAATGACTGGTACTAAGTTGATATTGATTGATTGTGGAGGTACGTGGGAGAAGTCAGTATTCTTGACTATTTAGTCAACCCAATGGATTCTCTTCTTTAGCCACATACTAGTCTACTTGGTCACCTCGGTAACCAACTCCTCATATTGATGATCAGTGGTGTGTATTCCAAGCGTTTTACAACCTATAGGGATGAAAGTCTATTCGTACTTAATTAACTCTAAGAATAAAACTATTTTTAATTGTCGTGTTTTTCACCTATACTCCAGGTCTAGTTGTTGCAAACTTTTCAATTCCAATAGTGTTTGCTTTATCCACTGAGAATAAAGAGAAATGTCATGGAAATGGTTCATCGATTGCTTTGGTGTATAAGCAGAATATAGTGGCAGTATTACAAGATTGCGAATTTTTCCCACATCGCAAAGTAAGTTACTCAGTTTCCTTTCCTTTTCAATGATAGTAACTTTTTGAGGGTCGAATAAATGCAATAGTTTTGGTTGCATATGTCTGTCACACTCATTCATGTAGGCTTCTTCAGCTGTCAATCACTAAACCACGGGCTCGAATTCAGCTCTATCTATTTCAATCTCGGCTATTCGGTAATAGTTTAAAAATCCCCATTAAAGTCATAAAACAAAAGACGTTCAGAGAAGAGTCACTCTTTTCAGCTCTACAATCGTATATAAATAGTTTATTCGCATAGTAACAGGAAACATTTTTTGAACGAAATCCAGTTTTCATTATGATTCAGAAGGTCAGAAAAAGAATTACGTAATTGTTGAAATAGTAATGAGAAGAAGAATTTTCAAGACCGAGGGAATACTTGGTTACGAAGATAAATGATACAATCTGGTTAAAGGGATTGATGAGAAATCAGAATGAAAGGTGGTGAGGGAATGTGATGTGTGAGATGTGAAAGAAAAGATTTTTTGACGGTAAATGTGTTCTTACAGCTCATAGCTCTTGCAATTCAGGTGACTGGACAGATTTCTTTTTTAGTTCAGGTTTCAGGCTTCAAAATATTAATTGCCATAGCTTCCACAGTTTTAAGAAGTTTTAGGCGTATATCTTTCATGAGGTGTACCCGAACTCTACAGATGACACTGAAGTTGTTTTCTGTATTTACCGGGTGGTCATAATCGATGAAATATTCTAAATCAAGGCTGTGAGGTGGGTAGTATCATAAGGATATATGCCCTAGGTGTAATTAATAGCGTGATGCATAATATATAATGAGTGTACATTTTAATTCTCCTATAAACTTATAGGCCATACAAATAATACTAACGACAATGATTCTAGTGTAGTTATAGATGAAAGAAAGATAACTTGGTCTAAGAATTTACCACTCTCTGAAGCACAAAATTCTCGAGGATTCCACTCATTGAAAGCCTATTTCTCCAGATAACTTGAGATGATGTAAAAGAGTACTCTTTAAGGCATTATATATTTTTGCATAAAAGAAATCATTTAAATAAACTTTTGATACAACATACCTCATCAGTTATAAAATCATCGATGCGATAGTAGTTTATTACTTCCAAATGGTTGGAGTTTATTGCAAAAATACCAACTGTGAAGGGATTGAATCATGTGTAAGGCTTTGCCAACCTCCTTGATAAATGGGAGTTAGTAGTTTAGTTTTTCTCATTTTCAGTGAACCAACAATACAACTTGACTATACCATACATTATCATCAGTGGTTGTCAATTTGCACTGTTGTCTTGTTTGACTTTGAGAAATTCTTTTTGTTCTTGTGTAGCATTGAACTTGTTCACCAACTGCTGAAAATGTATGAAACAAAGTTACAACTGAAGTTCTTTGTGTATCTGATTTTAGTCCACGTTAAAAACTATCTCACATATCACCCTTGTGTTTATCAAATTTTGTATCTATGTACAAATAGGAAACTGATGTTTATATAGTGGTCAGGGTTTACATCAATTCATGTTGATGTCAGAGAACTTATCCATAAACTATTCAGGCCACAACAACAGATTCCATATTACTGATGAACGCCGAGAAACCCGAAACCGACGTATGGGATACTCTGTCAATTAACCGCTTAACTATTCAGAACACCACGTGAAAGGTCTCTATATTAAACATTCAATAATATCTTTACTTTTTATTGAAATCAAATTTCGTCTTTGGATAGTGTAATCGTTATTTGATTGTGTTTTCTACCACATCTCGGACATATACTGCTCTACAGTCCGTTCTGTCCTGTTGTGTACGGCTGTGAGACAGCCGTTAAAAGCAGAAGACATGAGGCGGCTACACGGTTTTGATCACACGCGTCTTTGTTGCATTGTTTGCGTTTGCTGGAATCATCATGTAAGCGATGTATTGGTCAGGAGAAGGGTATTAGCAAGGCAGGCAAGTCACTTAATGAGGTTGTGAACCATAGTCGATTGAGTTGGTTTAGACATGTGTTGCGCATGCTGAGCCACTACCTATCATGATGTGCGATGGTAGGAGAAAATGGATTATGCTGGGAGAGTGTTGATGTTGGCCAGATCAAGACCTGGCACCAGTCGATGAAGTCGCTAACAGTTAATATGAACCATCGAAGGAGATGTAGAGTAGGTGACTGATTGGGGTCCTCGAGACGGTAGGAATTAGTTGTTGAGAACTTTTAGTGACATGGCTGAAAATTGTTTTAAGATACCAGGTAATTTGTTAAAGATCTGGAAAACATGATAATGCACAACAGAAAAGAAGTTCAAGTGAATAAATCCAGTCAAACTACGTACACGGGGAAGGTGAGGAATGTTCACGAAGGAGTGATGTAAGTTTAGAAGTAAGTAAAAGCGGTTGCCTAATCATGTGAACATATTTTGTTAACAAAATGGTAAGTCGATGACGATGAAACTATTGTACTAGTAACAAATGCGCTAATAATGAATATGAATGAGCATAAAATAAATGTATTAAGACTATTTTTGAGAAAGATGAGAGGTTGAGAAGTCAGCAATTACCAGGGCAATGATAAATTGGTAATTGTCTCCTACTGAACACAGTTCAGATGGAACTCGTTGAATAGTGAGGGTTTTGGTAATTCAAAGTAGGCTCGAGGTCTCTTGTTGACTGCTATGAAGGATTTTGCCGTAACACAGAAGTGAAGACCTATTGCACTATTAAACCGAGGGATGAACACCTGAAACGTAGACTCTTCGGTATGTAATCGGCAATCTTGATAGACATCAACTAGCGAATGAGCATGTGAACTGATAAATACAGTAAGCGTTAAAATGAGTTGAAACTTTGTCTAATTTGGATTCAGTAATCCTATATGTTATTTGATGTAATGAAACAAGTGTCGCAGCTGGATTATTATTATTATTATTAGACCCTTGGGTTCCTAGTGGAACATAGGGCTTCAGTAGCACGCCTCCAGTGAAATCTGTTCTCTGAGATCTTTTGAACCTGGTCCCACGACAGCCCAGAAGCTCTCATTTCCTCCTCACACGACCTCCTCCATGTCACCCTCGGACGTCCAACTCGTCGCTTACCATGGGGATTCCACTCGAGGGCTTGACGCGTGATGTCCCCAGTCGGTCTTCTCAGTGCATGGCCAATCCATCTCCACTTCTTCCTGCATATTTGTTGGGTGATAGGTTCTTGGTTGGTTCGTTCCGAGCCAGAGTTCCTTGTTGCTTATTCTTTCTGGCCATCTGATCTTCAGTAGCGAGTCAGCGTAGGCAGTTGTTGATGAATGTCTGTAGTTTATTGGAAATGCCTTTCGTGACGCGCCAAGTCTCTGAACCATACAAGAGCACTGACTTGACGTTGGTGTTGAAAATCCGTATCTTGTTCCATATGCTGAGTGCAGAAGATCTCCACACTGGTTTCAGGCTAATGAACGCCTGTCTTGCTTTTCCGATTCTGACTTTGACGTCCTCGTCCGTCCCGCCTGTAGTTGAAACAGTGCTTCCTAGATAAGTGAAGGAGGTTACTTCCTTTAAGTTTCTCCCGTTCATGGTGATGGTGATTGGTGTTTGTTGTTGTTGTTGGAGTTGTTGGTGCGGTATCTTCATCACTTCTGTCTTCTCTATATTCACCTGAAGTCCCGTCTTCACTGCCCTGCCTCTTCTGTCAACTTGTTAGTTTTCACCTGTAGATCTTCAAGTTTGTGTCATCAGACACAAGTCATCGGCGAAATCCAGATCTTCTAGGTTCTTTTCTACAGCTCAGCCAGCGTGTCCCCTTCTTCTCGCTCCCCACTGTTTGCTGCATGATCCAGTCAACTCGACCACAATCAGGAATATCATGGGGGATAGTAGGCAACCTTGTTTCACTCCTGTCTTCACTTCAAAGGCATCACTGAGCTTCCCATTGTGGATTACTTGGCATGTAGCATCTTCATATAGCTGTTGAATGAGGCGGATAAAGGTTTGCGGTACTCCGTAGTATTGAAGCAGTATCCAAATTACTTCTCGGTCGACGCTGTCAAAGGCCTTCTCAAAGTCGATGAAGTTGAGGTGGAGAGGTGATTGCCATTCTATGCTCTGTTCTATGATGATACGAAGCGTTGCAATTTGGTCGGCCCATGATTTGTACTTCCTGAATCCAGCCAGCCAGCCTGTTCCGGTCGTAGTTTTGAATCCAGCGCATCCTTCAGCCTCTTCAGGATGATGTGGCTTAATATTTTGCTTGCTCTGGGTGGACAGGAGAGTGATTCTGCGCCAGTTCTTGCAAACACTGAGGTCTCCCTTCTTCGGGAGTTTGACAAGGTAGCCCTTCTTCCAATCGCCAGGTACTTTTTCTTCCTTCCACACCTTCTGCAATAGTGGTGTGAGCATGGCCGCTGTTGTCTCTGCATCTGTTTTCAGTGCTTCTGGCGGTATTCCATCTGGTCCTGCTGCTTTCCCGCATTTCAGTAGCTTTACGGCGTTCAGGACTTCCATTTTCGTTGGGGGATTAATGTTCACTTGTAGTTCAGCGGCTGCAGGTGGTATTTCTGGACGAAGTGCAGGTGGTGGTCGATTCAAGAGCTTCTTGAAGTGGTCGGCCCATCGTTTCCTCTGTTTCTCTTCTTTTGTAATTAAATTTCCTTCTTCATCTTTTATTGGTTTCATCTGTGTTGGTCTCTTCCCTGATAGCAACCTGGTTATTTGATACAATGTCGTCAGGTCTCTCTTACCTGCATCCTGTTCTGCTTCACTTGCCAGTGTTTCGTAGAAGTGTCTTTTGTCTTCGCGTGCACTCTTCTTCACTTCTTTGTCCAGTGTTTTATACATTGTGCTCAGTTCCTCTTGTCGTTGAGCATCCTTGCACTGGTTTATCTTCTGCTTCACCATCCTTCTCTCCTCTATCAGCTTCCATGTATCCGTCGAGATCCATTCCTTGTCTTCTTTCTTCTTCCTTCCTAATACGGTTGTGCAGGTTTCTTTCCACATAGCTTTCAAAGACTTCCAGTGT